TGAGCCTCAGTTTTTGAGCTTAGCTTGCGGGGGGTTATCACCCCTGTTTTTGCGCCCCAAATTCTGCATAAAGCCCCCCGTGAGCTAAGGACAGCCCCCCGTCAGCTGCAACCTGAGAGTTGGCCCCTTAAGTGGGACCGAAGTGGAGCCAACGGGTAGTTAAGCTTCGCACTCGAGCTGGTGCAATGCGGGGGATGACGTCGATCCCGGCCGTGGCATCCCGGTTTCGTTTCGGAGGCAGATTGGGAACGGAACCACAAAACCAGATACGGATACATGTGTAATCAGATTCCATGATCAAATTACTAGGTATCTTTATACAAGAGTTCCCCGTCAGGCCGTCATGTTCACGTGTATCGCCTTGATGTTGCAGTACGGCGCCAATCCGGCCTCGCCCAGCTCCCTGCCAATGCCCGATTGCTTCACGCCTCCAAACGGGATCCGGAAGTCGGAGTCGTTGCTGCTGTTGATCCAGACCATCCCCGCCTCGATTTCTCGTGCAACCCTGTGCGCCCTCGTCAGGTCCCTTGTGAACAAGGCCGCCCCGAGACCATACGCCGTGTTATTCGCAAGCTCAATAGCCTCCTCCTCCGTCTTGAATGCGGCAATGGCTACGCAGGGCCCAAAGATCTCCTCTTGGAAAATCTTCATGGTTGGTTTCACGTCGGTAAACACTGTCGGTTGGATGAAGAAGCCTTTCCCCTTGTGCGGTGCCGCCTCGCCGCCCAGCATGATGGTTGCGCCCTCTTCCTTTCCGGAGCGTATGTATCCAAGCACGCGCTCGTACTGGGCCTTGGTTACCTGCGGCCCCTGGAATGTGCTCTCCTCAAACGGGTCGCCTAGAATTGAGATATCCTTTACTTTGGCCTTGAATTTCTCAACGAAGGCGTCGCAGACCTTTTCGTGGACCAGGATACGCGATGTGGCGGTGCAGATCTGACCCTGATTGCTCATGATGCCGGTGTGAGACCAGGTTGCCGCAAGATCGAGGTCAGCGTCTTCAAAGATGAGAAGCGGCGACTTGCCGCCTGTCTCGAGGGTAATGTTCTTCATGGTTCCGGAAGCCATCTTCATAATCTGCTTCCCCGTGGCAGTGCTACCAGTGAAGGCGATCTTGTCCACATTCGGGTGCTGGACCAGCGCTGCACCCGCTTCCGGCCCGTGGCCGTTGATGATGTTCACCACGCCGGGCGGGAAGCCGGCCTCCTTGATCAACTTGGCCATATATAGCACAGAAAGGGGTGTCTGCTCGGCGAGCTTGAGCACCACCGTGTTGCCACAACACAGGGCTGGACCTAACTTCCAGGCAGCCATATCGAGCGGGTAGTTCCAGGGGATGATCTGGCCGCAGACGCCCAGAGGCTCCTTGACCGTGTAAGCGAACTTGGCCGGGCCGACATCTATGACCTGACCAAAATTCTTGTCGGCATAGCCGGCGTAGTACTTCAACACATTGATTACCTCGGGCACGTTCTCGCTGAGGGCCACTGAGTAGGGCTTGCCATTGTCAAGGCACTCGATGGTAGCCAAGGTCTCTGCGTGCTGGGCTACCAGATCGGCCAGCTTTACCATCAGAGCGCCACGCTCTGTGCCCGACAGCGATTTCCAAGAGGGGTGCTTGAAGGCCTTGCGGGCAGCAGCCACTGCCTTGTCAACATCCTCCTCGGTCGCGGCGAAGACGGAGCAGATCTCCTCCTCGGTCCTGCGTCGTAAGTTAGCTACGGGCTGGACAGACCCTTACTGGTTCGCATTCGCACGCACGCCGGGTTGACCGAAGTAATCGTTTGCCCATTGCTGCTTTTGACGAACTCGTTGTTGATAAACAGGCCAAGCGGCTGTGTCCACCGCTTGCCGTTCGGCGCGCTGAGTTCTACTTCCATGTTTCGTCTGACCTGTGAACTAAGTGCGAAAGCGCGTTGGGTGCAAACAAGAAAAGATGCCGTCGGTTTCCTCTTGGCTGTCGAGGGCAGCCGCTTCCAAGTACTCGAGGCTAGAGGCGGGACAGGCGCCCATCTTATCTGCATCCTGTTGCTCAACCCCTCAACCCCTCCTTTTGCCAGTGATAAGGGTGACACAAAGGTGGGGAGCCGCGATTTCCTCCAAGCTATCCGGGAAAGGAAAATGCACGGGTGTGACTCTGGACTGACGTTCAACTTACGGATACCACAGGTGTAGGTAGCCGGGCCGCTTGGTGCATCGCCAACCGGGACTTTTTTGCCCGTTTTAGCGACAACGGCCTCAAGTGGTATTGCACTGTACTGTACTGTACATTACTAGCATGACCTTAGCGCTCGAAGAGGGTGGTGGAGTGGCTCGAGTGCACCCACCGGACTCCAACGGCGACAGCTCCCATAAAAATACGCAGAACATTCACGTAACAATACGTTGCCTGCGGGCGTGAAGCACTGTAACAATTTGCCCAATCAGACACCATGATACGGGTTACCAGGCGGCATCCAGACCATTGTCGGCCCCATGCAATCCAGGGTCGTATGACATAATCGCCTTTTCAGCAACATCCAACCTTCGAGAATCAAGGTTTCCCATCCATTGATCAGCCACACTGAACACTTCGATTTCGAATAGCCTCGTACCTGGAGTTTTCCGTTCTCGGACATGCGACACATATCTCACCCATCATGATTGAGATAGCGGCATCGTCACAGTCTCCTGTGCCGTCAGTCATCTTTGCCCTCGTTTCGCTCTCGGCCATCTCGGTCGTCGTCCTCCTCATCCTCCGATACTATCTCCCCCTCCGGACGACGCCCGCATATCTCCTTGTGCCAGTTTTCTTTGCACTATGGCTTCCGGCGAGCATGGTCCTTCTGGTGCCCATCGACCTGGCGTCGAGCGCCCTGGCCGACGATGTTGACGCTCGTGGTATCTGGTTGCAGCCGGGCGCCTTACGGGTATCATGGAGAGTCACCTACTGGCTTACATTTGCCCTGACTTGGTATACCCAGTCGCATCCAGCTTTTTCATTCGCTTATGATTGACTTTGATCTGCATAGGTTCATCCTCCCCATCCTCGCCGAATACTCCGACTCCGGTTACCGCGAGCCCCAGGCCAAGCTGCTCGACTCCCTCCGCGCAAACGCCCAGTACTACGCCATCGTATTTGGCTCCGGAGCACTCGGGTTTATTTACGTTCTCATATCTTATGGCCACTTTTCCTCGTCGCTTAAGAGCACCGTCATGGCTCTGGCCTACTGCTGGGGATTGGTGCTCGTCATCTACCTCATGGGTCACGGACTAGTTGCCATTCCTCGTCGGCTCCTTCGCAACGCGAATGTCAGCGACAGATTGCGGCGCATCCAATCCCGCGCGCCCGCGGTCTACGAGAAGATGAATGACGCTGAAATGGACCTTGAGGACCTCGAGCTGCAGGTGGCCGAGCTCAGCCGTCGTAAGGGGGGCAGCGTAAGCCTTTTCCAAGACTGGGTCGAGGAGTTGGTGGACATGACAAACCTGCCAGAGTCACAGCCTGGCCGTGCAAGCGTTGTACGTGGTTCCGGAAACCAGAGCCCTCTGCCGAACGTCATCACCGAAAAGTACTTGGCAGATCTCACGCGGCGCCTAATCAGAGCAAAACACGCCCGATCGCGGTACATCAGCGAATGGAACCGCCTCCTGCAAGACGCCGTCGAAACCCAAGCCATCCTTGACTCTGCCGCCTCTAAGAGACTCGACTTTGGCAAATCCTCTCCGCAGTCCGGAAGCCGCTTCTGGGACCGCCACACCCCGCTCACTCCATACACCCGCTTCCTCCTGCACTACCACCTGGTTCCGTATATTCAAGTCGCCACCGGCATCGTGCTGTTCCTGGCATCCGCTTGCATCATCTGGTCAGAACTAGTCAAGGGACTCTTGCCCCAGCTCTCCGTCATCCGCTACAGCGTCGTGCATCACCAACAAACCGATAAAGGGCAGGTCGGGCTAGCGGGGCAGGTCATTGCCGCGTTGTGGATGGTGTACATGTGCGCCGCCGCGCTCACGTCCATCACCGAGGTCAAGGTCTGGCGCGGCCGCGCCCTCGTGCGCCGCAACACGGCCCACGAGTCGGCCTTTTGGTATGCCAGCCAGGTTGCCAGGCTCAGCGTCCCTCTCACCTACAACTTTATGACCTTCCTCGGTGCCATCTACAAGCGTACCGTCTTTTACGACTTTCTCGGGCAGCTGATCGACCTCACACCGCTAGGGGAATGGTTCGATGCCCTGTTCCCGGCCTTCATACTGCTTCCTGTGTGCGCGACGCTGTTTGGCCTGTACGGCAGGGTGAGGAGGGTGTTTGGATTTGGCGTGGATGTCTTGGATGACGATGACGAGAACGGCGACGGAAGCGGTCGATCCTACGGGACCGCTAGTGGGGCTTGGAGAGAAGGGAGAGATCTCATCGAGAGGGAGCTCAACGGCACGTCGGCTGCTATCCGTGGGCGCAGGGCTGATGTGGCTTCGCGGATCGCGTCATCGTCGTCGCCCGTTGATGGTTCTGGCCGCCGCGGGGCTCCCGTCCTGACGATACCCGGGAGCAGCGGCGCCCGTCGAGACGGTGCTGGGCCGACGACCCCGTTTGGAACCTCGCCTACACCTGGCGGTGGGGGCCCTGTGGCCCCAGGGAGGAAGCCGCTGGCTAATACCTCGGCGAGGAGGGCCGCCATTGTGTTGGATTCCGAGGAAGACGAGGAAAACTTTTTGGAGGCCTGGGGGCATCGGTTCAAGAATACGGTCGAGACGTTTGATACGCCCAAGTGGATGAGGGATATCGGACAGGGTATCAAGAAACCCAAATGGATGGGCGGAAGCGACTCTGGGCAAGAAGGAAGCAGGGGCAGCAACCCAGATGTCGGGAGGTGGTTCGGTGGTGATGGTGGGCAGGGGAGGATCAGGTTGTGATCAGCCGCCTTCGTTTCTTTTCTTTCTTGTCCAGTGATTTTGGAAAGCATTGCATGGCCGGTATGATATGTATGGAGGGATGCATTGTTTGGCGTTTGGGGGGAGGGGGAAAGGGGGGGAAACGGTCTTAGGAAAGAGCGATGCTGTTCAATGTCACTAGAAAGAGCTCTGGACGTAAGCCCTCAGTAGAGGGAGATAATCGGGGGAGAATAAAATTGTAATCATTTCCGCACATATCTGAAATGCTATAGGCATGTTCCCACCGCATAATCTGGTACGCGCTCTACAAAACGCGCCTGATGCCATGTTCCGACCAAGCAGTACCCGCCATCATCCTTATCAGGAGTAGAGGTGGGGATAACAACGACGATCGGACCGGAGTTCTGTGACTGGCCATCCATAAATAACGCCGGTAAGATGGACCACCGCAGACAAGAAATATCAGGGAGAATGGCTGAGCTGCTACAGCGTACAGCTCGATTCCCCGCAACCTCCAAACTTCACGTCTAATCATTAGCCCACCTTCGAAATACCGCCATGAACACCAAAGTAATAGCATCACTCTCCGGCCACGCCATGCCCCAAATCTCGAATGCGCACCTGCAACCAAATCGCGGTTACACCCAGACGTCAACAATGACCACCCCACCCGAGCGCCTCCTGTTGTAAATGCCGAGGACAGCCTGTTCCCAGTCGTCTTCGCTCTCGATCTTTTTAGTCTGAGAAGCAGTTTGGATCTCGAAGACGGGCGCAAGTCCCGCAGTCTTGAACGACGAGGTGAGACCGGAGAAGCCGCCGTGTGACATGATCCAATCGTGCCGATATATGGTGACATCGCTCAGCTCGCTGCTGTCAATGATGTCCCTGACATATATGTAGTAGATGAGCTTGGCGTTGGGAGGAATATCGAGCTCAAAGATTTGTTTCGAATCAGCGGAGCCCATGACTGACTCGGCATGCTTGCGCTTCTTGGCGATAGTCGCGTTGCGGGCTATGGGATCGAACAAGCGCCTGCCCTTCTCAGTGAGTGGAGGAGTCGCCGGAGGGTTGTCGGGAGACTTCTGCGGGGGTGATGAGGGTGGCGGTGATGGTGGCACCGATAAGGTCGACCAGGTGGAGTCTCTTCGAAACTGTTTTTTGCTTGCCGATTTCCGACTCTCTATACTCCTGTAGAGGAGAAGAGAGAAGGTGATCAGGAGGCTAGATGAGCAGAGTTAGCGCGATTACTGTGCGTTTGGCAGAAAAAAAGGGGGCTTACAGTGATGAGTCTGCGGGCCAAAGTAGGGTCCGTGACTCGACATTTTGGCAACCGGTCCCAAACCAGGTAGTCCCCCAATTCTCGGAAACCAGCAATTGAAACGAGGCCCTGATGAGATCTCGCTTCGTCTCTAGGCGCCCTCTGCTTGGCTGCTCAACCAGTTGGCTGAATGGGGGTGCTTTCAGTCTTTCTTTGATGGCTTCGCTAAGGCGCTTACCCTCGATTTTTCCCAGCTCAAGCTTGCTGTAGAGATCGCTTAGCGTGTGCTGGCGGCCTGTTTCTAGTTAGCGCTCAATCAGTAAAGGATGGAGAGAGGAAACGCAAGGGGGGCTTACTGAGAGTGACACATTGCATGAGCGCCTCGGCCTGCATCTCGTCTTGATCAACTCTCCGGGGCACGCGGAATGTGCCGCTGCTCTGGCAATTGGCGTAGCGAAAACCAAGAATCCGAGTCGGAGAGATGAACTCGTCACCGTGGTCGGCCTCGCTTCTTTGACTCTCTATGTGAGTATCAACCGGCTGGTCATCACTTGCCGCCAACTCCCATTCCTTCTCAATGTCGGCTTCCAAAGCAGCGTGGCTGTGTTGGGCGTCTGGATGAAGATTGACGGGTTGGTCGTCACTTTTCGTCAACTCCCACTCCCTCTCAAATTCGGCTTCCAGAGCCGCCTCGCTGTCTTGGCTATCTGGATGAGAATTAACGAGCTGGTCGTTGCTAATGAATGACTCCCACTCTTTCTCAAAGTCCGCCTCTAGGCCCGCTTCGTCAGGCGGAGCGTCTTTGGTCGGCCCAGGAGGAAGAGTGCCAATATCTGAAAGGAGGGTACTAACCACGATGCTACCTGAAGTGTGTCCATCTTGGTGCGATAAAAAAGAAGCACTAAGAGGATCAGGAGCTGCGGGCATATTGGGCTCAAAAAGGTTAGGTCGAGGCAGATGAAGCTGAGGGAGCGTCAGCGTAGGCGCTGGCTCGGCTCTGGCGATCTCCCTGAAAAGGGAAGATAACTCACCATCATCGCCATCGGGGCTCCCAAAAAGCAAATCTGCGTCATCACCGCCATTGTCAAAGAGATCAGGGCAATCGATCTCCTCGGCCATGGCAAGGATTTTATGTCTTGTGTGATATGCTAGGTTTGATGTTTGGTTTGGGAAGGGAGCGGTTAGAGGAATGGTAAACTAGGCAGCGGTGGATCTTGCCATGGTTGCTCTGATAACCCTGCTGACCTAAGGCAAGAACAACCAAAAATGACGAGCTGAATTCGTGGTTGAAACTTCTTGCTAGGTATTCCCCCTCTACACCTGAATAGAGAATAGAGAACTCTATTCAGTCTATTGTTTCTCCTTCCATTTCGTGGTTTCTGTGCGTCGAAACTTCCAAACTTATTACAATTGGTGACTGACCGACCATCACCGTCTCCTTGACAGATCTTCCATCACCACTTCGTGGAATCCACCCTGGGTTAGACACTTAGTTTTCGATTACAAACAAATACCTTGTGCTACAGAGCCCGACTGCCATTTATTATCATTGTTGTTACAGTTGCTGCTGGTGTTGCGGGTGTTGCTAACGCATTAAATAGGGTTAGGGTTCTGCTAGGTCGCCTGAATGGGCGTCCGTCTCTCGGAGCTTTGGTCGACAGTGAACTTTGAAGGTTGAATAGGATCATTAGGCTAGTATAACTGAAGCACCTTATCTTTGAAAGAATACTGACGACATGAGCAGATGTCCCATTGTACGGGCTTGTACAAAAGAGCATTCAATATCCCAGATTCCCAACCACTGTCGTCAACAGTGAGACTGATACTGCTCAGCGACACTCTGATTCACGCAGAACTCAAGTCGGAGGGAGCGGAGACTACGGAAGAATGCTTGATTTGCGCATCACTTATGAGTCAGCACTCTCTCCTCTAACCCCGAAGCAGCCGTCGACAGGTCTGAGAGACTATACAACGTCGCCCTTGGCCCGACCTCGCGATTCGCAGTATACCTTATGTGACCACATCTTTCCCGTCGTATGTACAACACTGGTGCCCGAATGAGAGCATTGACAATCTTTGCCCCGGGTCATAATTGCCGCTCAAAGAGTAGGCTTCGCGAAGTAGTCAGCTGTCCGTCTGGGTATTTACGACTCCCTGCTCGTTGTTACGTTATGGGTTCAATAAAGCTTTCTCTTGAGACTACCTGGCCAAAAGCGCGCTCGCCGGATGATCCGACCGAGTCTCCAGCCGCTCGCCGTCGCAAAGCCAATAGCCGTCAAAGATAAGCGAAAGTCAGCCGGTAGGAGCAACGTTCCTGAGAGCAAGGGCTGTCCACTGGACGTCACACAGCGAGCGTCGGTGTCTTCACAGCCTGTGTGGGAGGAACGACGATGTGTGAACAGCATACAGTACGCAGTAATGCGTCGCCTTCACGCTATGGACACCCCATCGGCCGACTTCTGCAGGCTGGATTGCCCGCGAGGAACGTCGTATCTCGTCCCGCTTGAAGCGGCACTACTTCAATGAGGTCTGAAGAAAGACCAACTCCACTATCTCCTCGGCCGTGATCCACCTCTTCTTCAGCTAACTTTCCAGATGACCAGCCGTCGTTGGTCCATTGCCTCTACTCGCCGACTTCGTCCGCCCCATTCATATCACCAACCCGCGCCTCTTGAGCCAATCCGAGCACCAGACCGCGGTTTGCCTCCCCTGCCGTGTCAGAGCCTCTGTCTCAATCACATCGGTGGTGCCATGACAGCGTCGCGTTGCAGTGATCTACCCCTCTCGACGGGGAGTCCAGGATGAACGGAGGGTGCTTATGCGAATCTAGACTCTGACACCTGAGGCACGCCATCCTAGCTCTACGTAAGGAAACTATGCCGCAGGCTCGATTGATGAGAAGCATGCGTTTGTACACAGTGTGTCCTGGGAGTCTTTGCCATGCTACCCCTAGACCCCTGGACTCGGCGAGAGACGAGGGGGTTGGCAATTCTCATCCACTTGGAACTTCACCGCAACCCATGTCTATCACACAGCTGGCATCGCAGTTGCATCCGGTCTTCACCATCTATTCCCTCTCGAGCTTCAACCCTCAAAAATGTGGCGCCTGCGGCTCAAGGGCGTGTCTCTACGCAAGACCAATATACTGAACAATCTTGAGACTACTGGTCTCCCGTCAGTACTCGATGACGGTGGCATCCTCATCCATCCCGCTTCGCCACCCGCATAGGGAATGACAAGGCTTACTTTTGAGCCCGATCCAACCGGAGAAACAGTGAGACGTCAACGGTGTGACGTCTAGTGTCCGCCATCCTAGGCTGTCCACGAGAACCCACACACCGGTATTCTGCACCAGTGTCACCTCACTTTACTGAGTTCTTACTGCTGTAACGGGGTACACGCGTAGATAGCCTTAGGACGCGTCCTAGAACCCCTAGCGCTTAGCATGTTCTATGCTAGGAAGCGCGAGCCATAACACGTAGGCTGCTGGCAGACGTGGTCATCATCTACCTACGTACGTCACACGTGACAAGGATATCATTCCCAAGGTAAGACTAAACAAAATCATTTCTTGCTTTGGCAGACCCTGTCTACCCATGTACAATGGTCCTCTTCTGAGTTTACATCTAGCCTACCAAAAACCCCACCTCCTGAAGAGAGTTAGGGAACGGTCTAATGAAGTTTGAACTTGAATCTTTCGGTCCCTCTGGTCCCAACGTTAACCTTGAAGAGACCGCCCCCAAGCCGCTTACTCTCCCCTTCGCCCTCCTCATCTGAGGCGGTAGTGATAAAGAGGTCCTCCCCAACAAACTCACAGCAGGTGACATTCCTCGTGGGCAGAGTCACTTCACCGACGAGGCTCCCGTTAGGCGCGATCTTGAGCACTCTGCTTTCTCCGTAGACGGCGTGCCACAGGTTGCCGTCCACATCGACGCGGAAACCGTCGGGCTCGCCGGGGCCGTCGTGGCGGTAGAAGACGCGCTCGTTGGACAGAGACCCGTCCTCGACATTGAAGTCCCAGGCAAAGATGGTGCGGGCCGACGAGTGGGTGAAGTACATTGTCCGACCGTCAGGGGACCAGCCCACCGAGTTGGGAATGGTCAGGCCGGAAAGGGAACGGGCGACGGTGCCCGCGCCCGAGAAGTGGTAGAGAGAGCCTGTTTGGTGGGGCGCAAAAGGGGACGACGTGTCAGAGACGGTTGTCATTGCCATGCTGGTTTTGTCCTTCTTCTCCCGCAACCCCCCTTTTTACTAGGGGATCTAGTTTTCAGAGATGGGCGGAAGCATAGCAAGCACGTCAAACCACATGGCATAGATCAAACTGTGCCAGGGCCATAACTGCAGATATTTTGACATGACATGTATGATGTGATGAAGTGTTCGTTTTCAGCACTTGCTGGCTGATTGACTTGGTCGCTTGCCACGTGGAAAGGAGACACTGGTCCCCCTAACGAAAATCTGAGGGGAAAAGAAAGACAAGAAGGCAACAAAGATAGAACAAAAAAAAGATATAATACGTAAAAAGTGCAAGGTTCTAGGAAAGTGAAGAGAGAAGCTCACCCTCAGGTTGAAACGGTCCCAACCCGAAATCCGTCATGGTGCCCATCCAGAACCTCCCCATCGGATCGACGCCACCGTCGTTGCTCCTAATCCTCTCGGGCTTCTCCTCGGGAAACTTGGTCAGATAGTCGTACTTCCCCGTGGCCAGGTCGAGCAAAGCCAGGCCCTGCTTGGCCCCAATCAGGATGGTCCGGCTTGGGTCCCGGCCGTCGACGTCGGCAGTGACGGTGACGGCCTCTTCGAACTGGAGCGTCTTGAGCGACGCGGGCCCATCAGCAACCGACACGGTGTGAAGCTGCTTCTTCTTGATGTCGACGAAGCGCAGCGTGTCGGTGGCTGGCTCGTAGTAGGGCCCTTCGCCGAGCCCGCACTGCATGTCTAGGTAGGGGGCGCCGACCTGCCACTTTTCGGACATAGCGCTCGTCTCTGCCATCATTGTTTGGGTGTTTGTTGTCCACCTGACATCCGGCTGCCGGTTTCCTTGCTGGTTTGAGTCCTGTCGCAATGGGGATCTGCGCCTTCCGATGTCTTGTCTGGTCTGTGTGTGCTTCGCGGCGGACGGTATTTGGCGGGCCCCGGCGAATGACTGGCGGCGTATACCAACTTCAAGAAGACAAAACCTGGAAGTTTGCAAGTACTGCTTGCAATGGCATTTTATGATTTGACCTGCACCACAGGTGCGGAGCCAGCAGAGACTTTCGGCGGACCAGAAGGGCGTTATCCGGACATGGAGCCGCCGTGTCTCGAGGCGGAAACCGGGCCTCTGATCCGCTGCGGCCGTGAGCTAGTAGAGGTGGCATTGACAGCCGACGGCAAATCGCGGAAGATGTGCTGTGTCGAGAGATTTGAAAGGGAAGAGGGAAAAAATTGAGCTCCGCTTAGGTTCAACCTGCGCAGTTGCCAATTGCTGAGAGCAATCAAGTAGTTGGTTTCTCTTAACGTTACAGACAGCAATTCGTTGCACGCTTGTCCGTTGAAAGGAAAGAGACGGCTCAGTCTTCAGAAAGACTGCGCACCTTGTTACTACTATCAAGCTGAACTCACAAAATAACTTGCTAGCGAACTTCCCAAGTTTACAGAACGTTGTTGATAGAGTTCGGAAGAACATCGTTGAAAAGAGATGGAAAAGATAACCGGGGGCTTCAGGTTCTCATGTCAGTACAAGTATGTACGAAGTATTAAATCACAGTGTATCACTGTATGCATTGGAACAAGGTAACATATGGTGTAATTTACACTATTTGTACAATACAACCGAGCATTCGGTCGGCGCAACTACGGTAATTAACGGTAATTTCCCATTAGCTGCTGTGGGGCCCTACTCTGGGTTCAGCTTCAGAGTGCTCGGAGAAACTTGCCGCAAAAAGCTTTCCGCAACGCCCTCTCGTCACCCGACGTGCCATAAAGCCCAGGACCTAATACCAAGGAAGACCGGTGAGGCTGCCCAAGTTGTCATGCATGACGACGTGTCTGTGCAGAGCTACCCACTGTCGGCTTGTTAAGAAAACCGATCCATTCGTGGGATCCTCGCGGGATGGCCATATCTCACCCAACTCCCGCATTTTCTACAATATTTCCGGCGGCGATGAAGGTTGACGTTAGGCTCCAATGTGGGAAATCGACCATATCGCTGCTCATCACAATGATCAGATCCTGTGGCAGGGACGATCCCTCTACCATCGAAAGCTTAATGAAGCTTGGTGGTCGTCAATGTCTCGGGCCGTCTTAGTAAAATTGGTTTGATTTTACCTGTTGGCTCGAGCTTCGGTTCCACTCTGGGGGCAAACTCTAAAGAGTTGGTGCCAAAAAAGCCGGACATGCCAAAAATCCCGGACACACCAAATTTGTAAGGAAGAAAGTTACAACTGCTCATATCTTAGGAAAAACTACACTTTTGAGAAAACGAAGATGACTGTTAGATCTGCCTCGAAGAGTCGACCTGAATGATACCCATTTTAATAGGTTGCATCCTATTCCTCTAGAGGTTTTGTCGAATCTTGGTGCAAAAGTGGTGTTCTTGTCTACCTTCGCCTGCATCTCAAAGTTGTGTAAGTCGTGCGAGAACCCAAGATTTGCAACAAGATTCGGCAACTTTGACCAAGAACTCTGGGGCAATAGGATACAACCCATCAAAATAGGTATCGTTCGAGTCGCCTCTTCAAGGCGGATCTAACAGTCATATCTATTTTTCCAGAAGTACAGTATTGCTCGAGATGCAGGTTGCTTTAGCTGTGGAATGTTAGTCTTTGTATAGGTATTCCATACATTGCACTATCTGTCCGGGTATTTTTGGCAAGTCCGGCTTTTTTGGCACCAACTCTTTAGAGTTGGCCCCTGAATGCTAATTGGTTGAGCCAACAGGTATTTGTTGGTGCAATTGATTTGGTGGTTCAGGTCAATCTCATCAATGGCCGCTGTATTGTGTGGTGACGAAAATATTGGTCCCTGCCCAGTGTGCCAGTCCGAGCGAAACATGTGATCTGCAACAGACGCACGCCTCGCTGCTTCTGGTTCCGAACATGGGATGAGGCTGGCCCCTTGAGAGGAGTCATGAATTATCGCGCAGCAGAGAGCCTCAGAGTATGTATGTATGTACATCATACTACAGGCGAACCTATAACACTTGTCGAGACAGGCCAGTTAGTGCTCGAAACAACCATCGAACTACGTTTATTAACCTACAACGCTGACGACTGACTACCTTAGAAGGCGGCAGAAGATGGGTTCCAGTGATCTGGACTCCCTGATAACTACTGATTCGTACTGTGTAAGGCCTTCCTATCGTGCTGGACTTTTTCCTTCTATTTTCGGATCGCTGCAGAAGCACTTGCATGGAGACATGGAATGGGTTGTTCGTGGGGGAATTAGTGAGAAATTACGTATCTCGGATTGTGTCTCACAAAGGGAATCTTTTCAAGAACCTGATGCGAGTGTTTCGTAGTTTATCGATCTCAAGAGGCGGATGGCGAGATCATTTCCCGCGCGATAGCTGTCCGTGAGATACCGACGGGAGTACCCCTCAAGCTCTCCATCTAAAAACCTTCCAACTTGTTTTGTTCTCCCTTTCTTCTTTCCTTCTTTCTTTTCCCCCTTAGAAAATAGCCGAACTCTCCTTTTTCCTATTTTATTCTTCATTCAAATTAGTTACTCTACTTTCGACTACCCGCCTCTCCACTCTTTCCGTCCGTCCATGTCCATACATACTGTATCCGTAATACTTACGGAGTACTCCGTACAATCCAGGCTTTTAAACGAAGGTTGCGTTGGGCGACAGAAGGGCGGTTCTACTTCCGATGCATGCAAGCCCACGCATGCTGCATGCCATCGATGCACTGTTGCTGCACATCTTCCCGCTTCGGGGATCTTGTGTGAGCTGGCAAGCGGATCCCGGTCATCTTCCGTCGACACCGCCAAAGACCTGACACCGCCAAAGACATCGGATCTATCCATCTTCCTGTCGGTTGTTGCAGTCAAACTCATCTGCGGCTTCTCCTGCACAATCGGGTACTAATATGCTTCCTGCCTCTTCCCCCACACGATGTGCCGCCGCTTGCTTTTGAACTCGAAAAATGGCTCATCTGCAAAGTGGGTGTGCGGATATTGTACTGTACTGTACAAGTATGTACTGTACACTATGTACATACTTCGTACATACAGTACATACCTTACATCTTACATGTGTCGATGGTCTCCGTGTTCCCTGTTGTTTCAGCAGCAGTTTGAAAGCTGCATACGGGATCTCAATGAGTCTGTCGTCACACAACATACTGTGTAAGTTGAATCAACCGCAAGTTCGAGTTTCTTTTTCACTACCGGAACAAAGTACTCTACGATTGCTACATGTGGGATGGTGCAGTTCCTCAGGACGTACCTATCCTTCACACCTAAGCAACTTGGAACCGTGGTGCGGAAAATTGGCAATTTGATACGCCTAGGTAAGGTACCTATGAACACCCCAGGTACATACAGTACAGATAGTCGAGATACACGTACTGTAGTTCATGGTATGTATGGGTACTCGCTGCTTTCTTCTTTGGCCGCCCGTGGTTCTCATGGACTACCTTACTGTACTGTATGTAGTGTACATACCTCTTATGCCTTGTCCCTTGGAGGCCACTCAGGTACGCTAATGGTACTAAAAAGTTAGTGTGTCTCTGCACGAGAGACCGGCGAGCAGTGAGCGGTGTGCATCGAAATCATGATGGCTGCAGAGAAGTTCTTGATAACGGGCCCAGGCGGCCTGGTATATTTGATTGTGTCATCCCCGGTGGTCTCTACAAGCAGAGTTTGGTTAGCCGGGTGCGCCTGTCATTGCATTGCTACAGTCGCGAAGCTATTGCTTGGTAACTGTGGCCGCATTTATGGCCGCAGGGCTCGGTCAGCAGCCGCCGTGCTACGCGTTTGATGAGACGTGACGTTGAGGTAACTACGAGAGTGAAGTAACTTTTACGGGCAGATGACACTTGAGTTCCTCAGGGTCTTCAAATCAACATTATCTGCTCCTGTAGCTAACATACCTACCTAGGTAATATCAAACAGTTCAACCTAAACCAAGCAAGGTAATTGGTAGTACATACTGGACCCTATATCCGCAGGCGGAAACGGTTCCGTCATGAATGATGGCGTATGTAAGGTACATACAATACAATACATATCGGATAACTGCTCCCAAGTTGGTACGGGTCTAATGTACTGTACTGTACATTGCTGTATGTGCAGTATAGTATGTACCTACCTGGTACATACCTATATTACAGTATTGTACCCCGCCATACCTAGGCGTTTTCAATGTCTGGCATGCGGGTGCCGGGATCTGCACGACAGCCCAAGATTGACCAAAGATGCTAGGAACTCTTTGGGCTCCAATGCAAGCTGTAGGAGACTGAGATGGATTGACGCAGGCAGCGGTACCATATATAACTCGTGGCTTGCAGGTGGCAGAAACGAAGAGAGAGCTCCATGCTCCACCTTTAAATAACGCACGAAGGTAGCGGTCATTGGGACACAAAAACAGTCGAGAAAGGAGGATTGCTCGCTTGGGCGCTAGGCGCAACTACGGTACTGTACTGTACAGTACATACACTATAAGTTCGTTACAGGTATCACCCGAAAGCTCATGTTCCTGTGATGCAGCCGTGACCGACAACCGACAGGGCTGTCCTTTGCATGACTTGTCTTCTCGGCAGTGGGGGCGCTGAGGGACCGAAGATGATGCCAGGCTACATCTGCATAATCCGCTGTCTCGGTCATGTTGTGCCACGCGGCAATATAAGGGTAGTGTCCTATCCACTAGTTTCTGAGTTGGCAGCATCCACGAACTTGGGATGTTCCAATGTATGGTAAGGTAATCAATAGGGAGTTCAGTACATATATACGAAGTAAACACCAGCTGAGTTCAACAGTGACGTATATCAGGGGCAAGTCAGAGCAAGGCCTGTTCCCGGCCGTCTCACGCCTGGGAAGGGAAGGTAGCAGCCAGCTCACAACGTTCTTTCCTCGAACTCCATGGAAAGTGAAATTATCTCCAAAGACTGCAGGAAAGCAGCGGTGTACAGTAGTATCGCTCGAGCCGGCACTTGTTAAACCTTCAATTACATTACTACCAGCGCAGAAGCAGACCGCACCTCTTTCCGTCTACCGCGATCTCATAGCCCCAGGATAAAGTTGCTGCTTTAGCCAAGAAGTCAGCAGAATCTGAAGACTGGCAGCGGTGTGCCCATGCAGCTGTGCCCAGGTACAGTACCCTAGGAAATTTATGGACATGGGGCAAGTATGTACTGCACTGTACATACTTCGTACAGTTTCCGCACCTTCCATCCCGAGGACTGACAGCACATAACCTGATATCTTGTGGCTATCCAGCCTCAGGCTTTGGCGTCACCAGCTCCAACATGGAATATAACCGCAGGAAGGCCCATTTAGACGGCACATACATATCAAGCTAGAAAAAGGCTGCTTCGATCAGTCGACTCCAGGTCGATTGTCGACGGTCGTGTCGCACTAACGTTAGCGCGAGACCCGCTTCCATCCTCCGGGGCGCCCTGAGCCAGGAGACTGCAGCACTTGGACACGAGGCGCAATTTTCACATCGCTCCCAAGAATGGAACCTCGCCAGGCCCGACATCCATCGGACCCGCCTGCACAACAGGTTCAGAACAAGTCATCGAGTGTTTGTACACTGCTGTTGGAGGTAGGGTACGAATCTGGTGTGCGCAGAAAATTTCGACACACTTCAATACCTTACAACCATAGAGGGTTCCTTGGAATGACCAACGGATCCCGCATCACTCGGTTCACTGGTTCTCGATTCTCGACTGTCCCGCCTGGTTAGTATAACGTTCTAGTTCATCAAGGAAGGGCCCGCCTCGGGGCTATATGTATGTACATTCATCCAGTCATCCACACACACTATTCCGGGGTTCTTCATTTCGCTACGATGGCATCACTCTCTGGGCTGACCGCGCTGCGCCTTGAATGACTGGCATCTCGGATCCGCCAGCCAAATTTCACATCTGCCACAGTGCCGGGCCCAATACAGCAGAATGCGCCTGTCAGCTCGCAGCTCCCGCTTGGTTGGGGCTACGTTAGCGGAGTTCGACAAGACTGTTTCTAGCTAGCAGCAATGCGGCCCCAGATTGGACATGCAACCAGCCATGCAGATCTCATCTAGTTTCTGTACCTGTGTAGCCGCCTGCTCGTTGCCTGTCCGTTTTGGGGATTTGGTCTGCTCGATTTGGGCAGCCAAAATCTGCAGGCGACTGGATGACGCAGCTCTCACCAACGTCAGCCGCTCTGCCGGTGAGCCTCGCGGCGCCGGACGAGCTTTTCTGTCGCCATTCGAAACCCGAACTTGGCGTGCGTCTAGTAGCTCATCCGCCGGGACCCGGATGTGTTCACGTTGGGCACCGCCAAAACCGAGATGCACTAGGGATGCACTGTGTCTCCGGCAGGGGTGGGAAAGCCACGCCGCGGTGCCAGGTCAGACCAAGCGTGGGGATCGCGAGCAGATGGGGTTACATTGCTTGCATTGGGTCTGCTACGGCCTAGCTACGGTTTCCGGAGGAAGCATCACCCACCTCGGTCCTGTCGGTGACCGCTGACGTACAACACCCTGCGCTGCTGTTCTAGTTGCGCCAAGCAGGTAATCCGGGGTCCAACAGACAGGGCCTGTTCATCGACGTGACTACTTGCTACCTCATCGTCAACTCGTCGGGATAGGGACTACAGCTGTTGTGATTACCGACTTGTTGGCTCAGGATTCTGTCGGTTGTTGCACCGCACAAGGGCGGATTGTGAGCAGAGAGCTGTCCATTAGGCTCGCCCAGTTTCCATCACTTGATGGTGCCCTTTTTGTGCTAGTGATGTGGATTCGCAGGGCTTGCAAGGTTACTGCTGAGGCGAGCCACATATCCATGCAGTCGGGCCATGCAGTCGGCTGCCGGTTTTTCGGGTTTCAGGGGGGTTCGAGCTCTTGGGCTTCGAGTTCGAGGCGAAGGATCACTCAACACAACACACAAGTCGCCCGCCAGGCTCGGTATAGGTATTCTCACCTGCATCGAGAACGTTGCTGACGTCCGTCATAATTCCCCTTGGAAAACCCAAATGATTACCGGTCTAGGAAGTGGAAGAGAACTCTGGGCCAACCAATCCCACCAGGAGACTTCATCCCCCGGCCCCATCCTTTCCCAGCACGCGGTACAGTACTCAGCATGGACCCCCGGCTGGTTTCCAGACCCCGGTAAACAGCCCATCTCCTAACTGACGAGGGCGTCTACTGTGTACTGTATGTACATACGTGTACCATGGAGTAGCCAGCACAGATAAGCAACGGTGCATGGCTGTGTAAAAGGGACATGGGTATGAAATTCTTTAGACTTGCTTTACCTAACTTGAACGCTGTGTCAGTTGGCAGAAGCAGCAAAACTCGTCATCAACGACAACATCCAATGATTCCAATCTCGTCCATTTTTTGTTATCACTATTATCTTTTTCCCTCTTGTCCTCAGGCCAACAATAGGGCTAGGTGTCTGTCGACAAGTAGCAGCCGGGGTGTCAATATCCGGACGGTTCGGCGCACCGCCTCCCTGATCTCAGCAACACAGCTCTGATTTGCTTGGAGCTGCTTGATATACGGACTCATAGCGGCCCCGCCTCATAGAGGAGGAAAAACAGAGGCAGGGACGGGCCAGAATAGTAAAAAAAGGAGGGTCCTGGTGCATCTGCCGTTCGGTCCATTCACGTCCGCAGCAGCAGCCAAAACGGCCTTTGGCGGACTCAAGGCAGTCCAGCCACTCAAGGCACGAAAGTGCATCAAAGCTTGCCCAGTGGCCGTACCTTCGGCGACGCCCAGTGAGCGGCCCACTGAAAGTACCACTCTTGCGTCGATCGACTCGCAACCTCTCTGCGCTTGCTGCCAGCCAGGAGTTCACCCCTCGAGACCCCGTCAAAGTCTGGTCTCCTGTCCAAGTAGCTCGCTGCGTGTCTGTCACCCGAACGGCCCGCTCTGACGCAAGCCAGCAAGCCTCATAGTCGTGACCTTGGAACAGGTACTTATTGCGTCTTCCTGTCTTCCTGGTCCTTTCTCGGCGCCAGCAGTCCGGAACGGCGAAGCACTCACCCGCCCGCAACCAGCGTGGCCATTGCCAGGAACCCCTTTCCCAGTGCACCACGCCCTCTGTACGACATAAGGGCCTGTCGCCACTGCCACTGCTCTCCGGACGCCGATACGTGCAGTTTCTTAGCAGCCGGGCAGCCAGGACGCCACCGCTTCGACTACGCAATCCGTCAGCCTGGCGATCCAATCGATATCACGGTGGGCCCAAGAACCAGCGAGGAGCTGGCCTGGCGCCGACCTGTTGCAGCTGTCATCGATAGCTGCCTACGGTCCCCGGCGCGTGGGCGAGAGCATCGACCCGAGCCGCACACGCCGTGTTGGCTCCGACCAAGAACCCACCCGTCGGCTCTCCGAAAGCGGTTCAAGTTGTAGACGTCAATGTCAGGGTCCTCGAAACCTCAAGAACGAAGGGGAACAGATGTCGCAGGGGGAATCTGCGCCTCGCCCTGCCTCCCGCCACTCCTCGCGGTCTCCTCCGACAGCCGTCGCGTCGTCCTCCCCAGCTCGGCGAAGTCGTATCCCCCAAGATGACTCGAGATCCCGGACACTTCATGGGCCCGGGGGCGTCGCAGTAACTGGAGGCGGAGGTGATGGGAGAGGTCAGCAGCCGGGATCCAGGGCTTTGGACTCGCACGAGATATCAACCCCTGCCGGGCCTCCCCACGAGCCCGCAGTTGAGTCTTCCGCAGGTCTCCCTCAGCCCTCGGTTGCCGGAGGCAACCCCCGCTCCGTCATGGTGACAGGCCAGTACGGGACAGAAGGGTCTCCATCTCATCCCTTTGCCTCGCAGACCCCGGGGGCACAATCACGCACCAGCAATAACCCCCTCGCACCTCCGACGCCATCACCCGTTGCGGCTTCTACTGCCTCTGTGGATCATGGCTCTCCGACAATTGTCCATCCTTACCCTCTGGCTGCAAGGCGGATCTTGACACCGAAATCACCCAGGGCAGCAAGCCTCAGTCGAGCGGCTCTGAGAACGGTAGAGGCTCAGCACCAGCATCTTGGGCATTTGGCCGCTCCCATGCCAAGAAGCGGCACCACAGCGCAGGATGTTCAAACTCTCGGCAGCGGGTCTCCATCTCTCGGCGCTCTTCAGTTTCAAGGCCGTGGCTCGGGACAAGGAACGGCTGTACTGCCGCCGACCCGGCCGCCCTCGGGCCTTGCTCGTTCGCTTTCGCAGCCGAGTCTGGGTCAAGGACTACCTTCCGGGCCCCCTACAGAACCGTCACAGCCGGGAGGTCTAAAGCGCGAGCTCAGCGGGCGGCCCGTCTTTTCAGGGCCCCCATTCGCAGCTCCGCTTCCGGCCCCCCATCGAGGAGGGTTTGGCCCGTCCGGGCTCTCCGGAGACAGCAGGTGGGGAACCGGTGTTCTTGGCTCGCTTCCTCCCGGGGCTTCCGCAGCAAGGCATCTCCAAATCGCAGAGGGTCAAACGCTTTTGACCATCACACCGAGGCATGGGGAGGAGATCGTGGTACCAGTTGATGTTCACCAGGCATCCAAACAAGCGGATGAGAAGAGGCAGCGCAACGCGGGGGCATCGGCAAGATTCAGGCAGCGGAAGAAGGAGCGGGAAAGGGAACAACAGGAAGGCATGCAGAAACTGGAAAACCAGAATCGAGAGTTGGAAAAGAGGGTCGAGGAGCTTGTAAAGCAGTGCCAGGAGCTGGAGGCTCAGCGAGACTTCTACCAAAACGAGCGGAACCGCCTGCGAGTTCTTGTGGCCCGGACGCCGGGTATCAGCGAATGGGCCGATCGAAGGCCGCCGAGTCCCGTCCCGGCGAGAAGCGGAACATCTTTTGTTCCGCCAGACAACAGCACCCTGCTACCCCAGCCGCCACCCCCGCCGGCTCCAACGACGGGCCATTCTCACCCGCACGCGCAGACTCAGTCTCGTCCGACGCCGTATCCCCATACCCTCGCCAGCCCTCATCCGCGCTCGAGTTCCTACGGCGACCCTTCGATGCTGGAACCCCCGGCGAGGCGAAGAAGGACAGACTCCGAGCCGCAGCTCCCATCCACTTCATACAGCTTGATGCCGCCTGCTCCGATTCCCGGTCCCCCCCCTCCTCCTCCTCCGCCTATTCCTCCTCCTGCTTCCTTCGGCATCCCTCCGTCCCCGCATATCACGCCGCCTCCAGGAGCCGCACGACTACCTCCCCTGCCTCCTCTTCGATTCGATCAGTCTCGAGCTCCGTCGACAACACCTCCCCCGATGCCCAGTGCGCCGCCTCAGCCGTCCGTCCCCCCACAATCTGCCAGCCCATACCCTACTTATAGGAAACTGCACTATGAGACAGGGTGGGCCACAGAGCCTCGGGGACAAACGGAGGGTGGCCCAAGGTGACAGGTGCTTCGCTCCCAAGCAGAACTCTCTGGGCGCTGGCTCATCCCCGAGTATCGAAGATTGTCGAGTTTTGTCGTTTGATACAGACGTTAAGCGCGAGAATGACCCGCCTTATTAGCATTACGGATATCACACGCACGTCGGCTAAAGATCGCTGCATAGATTGGATTTTAATCTCTCTTTTCTCTTTCCCCTTTTCCATTTGCTCTCTGGACTATTTCCTTTGTCGTCTGATCCATTTAGAAGACTAACTTGCTGATATGCTGGGCAACCGGCGGAATAGGGGCCGTGGGTAAAAGTGAAAACAGCTGCAAAAGGGAATCTCTTATTCGCCATCTTCTCTCTCTCTTTCTCTCTCCTCTCTCTCTATATCTCCGTCTTTCTCTCTTCACTAGTCATACGGCGCGACAAGGGGCGGACATCTTTTTTCAACAGAGGGGTTTGGCAAGTCTATCCATCAATCATCTCATCCGGCGCAGGAGGTTTCATGTTCCTCCTTTTGTTTTGGCATACATACTTCTTCTAGCCACTGCTTGCCACTACCTACCTTACTTACACCATTTAATTATGGCACACTCGGCCTACGCATACAATTACACAAGTTCCACAGCAATTTACTTATATGCATACACACATAGCGGGCGGGGCGTTAAGGGGGTGGTTTCTGGAAAGGGGTTTGGGTTCTGGCTTCTGTTCGGTGTATTCGTACTTGAGGCATGGTGTTACGGACAAGCAGGGCGTGGAGAGCATCTCTTGTTGCCAACAACCTTCTTACTCTCACTCGTTTCTCACTGGGTTGAAATTGTGGATAGAGGGGCAGGGGAAGGAGCATTTGATACCAAATTGGATCCTATCTTGTTCAGGAGGCTGTGCAAATGTGCTTCCTTTTGTGTTTTTGTTCTTTTTTTTCCTGTTCCCTTGTATATGCGGGCCGCTCACTCGCTCGCGCGTATCATTGTTGCTTTTCATTGGATACCCAATAAGGCGGAGTCAAAACAAACTGAAGCCAATGAATGGACGGATGAATATCTGGAGGTCGGTGTGAACCAACTGGAATAGAAACATCTAGCTACCAAGCGGATTGGATGCTAGCACGTCGGAGAGTGTATCTACTACATACAAATTCGTGTCGGCCTGCCTACGATTCCTGGCTACTACCTAAGGTACCTGCTTGATATCGTCAGCCAATCTTTACACATTATGTCCTCTCCTGCAGCCAGGCAACCGCGGGGAAGGGGGCAGGCGTATGGTAGGCCAACGCTCCTTCCGTCTCGGATAAGCCCGCCTTTGCAGGCTGCCAGTCAAGGTAATTGAATGACAAACCAGTGAAACCACAAATCGCAAGTAGGAATCAGGGTCCAGGCTCTTGGAGCTTTCGACTAGCTTCCTGGACAGGCTAGGAAAGCAAGGGCTGAGAGTGGAAAATCGTCCGAAATGGGAAGAACAACTACACCTATGAAATGGTTCAAGATCCATGCAACTCGGGGAGCTACACTAATTAGTACAGTACCGGGCTATGCAGCTAATGGAAATTCCCCGAGTGACCGCGTCTCGGCAGCCAAGCGGTGATTCTATTTGCCGGCCGTTCTGACAGCTTCTGAGCCGCAGCAGCGCTGTTCTCGTGCATTGGGTGATAGGTATGGACCAACCGACATGCATCCCGGCCCCCCAAAAGCCAACCGCTTCTTGACATGCTCTGCAAGGTCTTACTGTGGTAGTCGACGTCAAGTCAAATCCTTCCGGAGAGGTTTCCAATCGGCGCCCCCCCAGCGCTGTGTCAGGATACGTAGGCCATAGTCCAGTACAGACCCTGGGGCTATTCTCGGTCTTTTTTCCCGTGTCACGCCGAGTTCTCGTGTCGAGCCTATCAAGACGCCCTGCTCGGGCCATTGCGGAATCCCGCACAAGCAATGGTCATCTTGTCCGTTGAGAGGGGGCGGGAAGACTGATTACTCGTCAAACCTGCTCCTTTCCCCCCGCGCAGGGTCCATGAGCGAATAAGGGATAAAGACATCAACAACAGCAACAAATGACGGTTGCCCGCATGTAACAGCGTAGTATCTGGGGTTAATGCTCGAACTCACTCCCCAATGAGGTGCCGCGAGACCGATATTCTGCTTTTCGATGTGACGGTGACAAGGTAACCTGGAAGACTGACATACGGAGCAAAGCCATCCTCATTTCAAGTTCTTCGAGGTGTGTATATACAGTATGTCACTTACTGGGTACTCCTGTCCAAAGAGGCATGGGGAAGTAATCAATAATGAAAAGCCTATGATTAAAGATGGCATAAAAATTGGCTTAGATCGCTTGGCTTTGCCTCTTTGGGACTCTTGGTCTTTCTTGCAATATCTCATCTCATGTCTCATCTCGGTCGGGTGACGGGATGCGGATCACTTATATCGTCAGATTGCTATTTGTCCCGTGACAACTTTGGCGCATGTGATCGATGGCGCCAACTACGGAGTACCGGTATACTAAGCTATGTCGCGTGTGGTATTGTATGTACGTACAATACATACACGGGGTCTTCTAGCACTTGTCCTGTATAGATGCGTCGAATTTCCGAAATAGTACGTTCGAGCCTGTCGGCAAGAGCTCTTTCTGGAAAAAGGACCAGGAAGCAACTGGGTACCTAGGTAATCTTAACATTACAAGCATTGATGAGCGTTATGTAATAAAGCAAGCTTTCATCGGATATCTAAACCCACCTAGCAAGAATACCGAGATTGATTATTTCCGAGCTACAAGTACGGATACAATACGTGTACTGTACTTGTAGCACTTAGGGAAACAGTCGGGCTGATGTTAAACCTCCAGTACGAAGTAAGGTTGAGGCCAAAGCTTGTAGCAAGCGTTTGATATTCTCAGTTCAGCTCTTAGGTAAACTGTGTAAGTTATCTGTAAAGTAGGTACTTGTACAATAACGGTACCTTACACCAGCTGTGGCCGACTAACGTACACACAGTACACACATCCAGAGCACACCGGTCGCAGTTGCGCGCCATACAGTTCCCTGGGGGGGGCGCAGGGGTCCATTAGTAAGGTAGTGGAAGACCGCAAGTGGATGCCACCATTCAGCCTGCGAGGCTGGTTGCTGTCGTATGTATAAACAGGACCTCACGGGTCGTGGTTGGGTTGATATTGTCTGTGCGCACCGTTGAGAAAATGGAGGCCTAGAGAGGCCCAATTGCCGCTGCTACTTTAATGACGTTACATCATCCAAACTGCCGGATCTGCCTGCGGGGCTTCAAGCATTCCACACTAGTACTGACCGGCGGACCAAGAAACCGCAATCTTGCGCCTCGGGTTGGTGTTGACAGTTCTATTATGCATACCATAGCGCCTCGCCACACTCCTGGAAAATGATCTTGGGTATTAGTTTCTAGGCACAGGATAATCTTAGGTACAAAATGATCACACGATCAATTTGGGACAATAACCACTTATAGGTAAGTTGTTACTTAAGCAAGAGGAATGCCTTGAACTAAAGTCATTCCCTAGCTTAAGGGACCAACTGTAAGTGAGGTTATTCCTTGATCTAGGTAACTATCTTGAATTGAAGTGCTTCGTTGGGGGATAGGAACCACTTGAGTTTGAATTGGTCCCTTGGCTAGAAAATGATCCTAGAGCCATTTTGGAGCTGGGAATCCATTTTCTAGCCTAGACCTAGGTAGGTACATACTACCAAAAAGAGAACCAGTCTTAGGTACAATAAGGTACCAACCTCCAAGTACTCCTTGGAAGTTGGTAACTTTGCAAAGAATATTGCAAAGGTCTTGAATCGAACAGAAGACTTCACGAGTTTGTCACTTGACAATTGACCACTTGGCCATTCGCTACATTCTTAATTGAAGAGGGTGCTCAATCCTCCAGGTTATCAAGTGCAGGGCAGAGTATTGAGCAGGTACAGTCCACATTATACAGTAGGAGGCCAGGATCCACTCCTTACTTGGAAAAGATCTAGCAGTCGAAAATGGTCCAAATAGTCGAAAATGCATTCAATCCATAAGGCCATACAAGAGGATCCTAATAGTAAGCAATGCTCTTACTACTATACAGGAATCCTGGGACCAAGGGAATCCCCTTGGCTTAGGAAGAGTTCAATTACAAGGTGATAACAGTGATCATTTTCCATCTACAGGACGGTCCCCTTAACGGAGGATCCACTTGCACACTCAAATGGTCATTCAAGATCATTTTGGCTAAGTAGGGAGGGGCGCTATGGTAGTTTATAACTTTTGGCGACTTTGGGGTTGCCAAAGACAGGGAGGCAGGCCAAAACACGGCTGCTCTGCCGAGTACGCTGGGAAAGTGAAGCATGGAGATGGCGCATTTAATGACTGAAGAAGACAGTCGATTCGTCAGAGGGGATGACGGACCGGGATAGGTAATGCTAGATGGCAGAAATATACGGAGTAGATAGAAGCTGCAATGAGAAATCGAACAAGTCAATTACAGGCCAACGGTTGCAGGACGGTTCAGACAATACGATACCGGTTTGAGATATGGTACGCTATCGAATCGCTTTTCAAAGCGAAAACCCAGAAGAGCCAGACAATAAGACAACTCAACAAAACTTATTCCTCCCCATCTAGGCCACTCCCATGTAGGAGGCGATTAAGGGTTCGTACGGAGTCGGACAGGCACCGAGGGGTTGTGGCCCCACTCATAGGGCAATCCCGTCTCCACTTCAAGTGGGTCCGGTCGGGGTAAGATGCAGCGACGAACGTCAACGAAGTTAACGAACAGGCACCGCCCGGGGCCGCCCAACCGCCCACTAATTATCCGCTTCCGGGGTTTCTGCCATCAGAAATCCAATCTCGCGACCATTACAGAGGCAAAGACCGCCCTAGAAATGGAGATCGAGTCGCCTCGCTCACCCAAACGGCGGCGCATTCTCGCTTCCATCAACCCTCCAGACAGCGACGTCGAAGACGACGACGACGACGCAGCCAAAAGAAGGCGCAAGCGCCATCGCAAACCGTCAGCCTCCGTTTCTGCCTTTGGCAGCGATGACGACCGGGAGCCCTACGCCAACGATCACGACATGCCGGCTAAGCGCCCAAATGAGAAACAAGAAGACCGCGATGGCACGGCACCAAGACCAACCAAGTTCCGCTTCAAATCAAAACACTCTCATCGGTCCTCCTCCAGACGCCAGCGCGAAGAAGGCGACGACGATCTAGACGACCGCCCCCGCCGTCACCGCCATCATCACCGCCATCGATCCTCAGACAGAGATGGGGCAGACAGCGAAAAGCCCCGCCGCCACCACCACCGCCGCCGACACCACCGTCCGCGCTCGCCCTCCCAGTCAAGAGCCCAGACAAGAAAGGCCAACCCGTTTGAGCAAGAACAAGCTCTCGATCCAGAAACAGCCTTTCGCGAATCCCTCTTTGACGCCCTCGCAGACGACGAAGGCGCCGCTTACTGGGAGGCCGTCTACGGCCAGCCCATCCACATCTACGCTCCCCCGACTTCCCAAAGAGGAGGGAGCAACAGCAATAATGGCGGCGGCGGCGGCGGCGAGTTGGAGCGCATGAGCGACGAAGAGTACGCGGCGTACGTGCGGCAAAAGATGTGGGAGCGGACACACGCAGGCTTGCTGGAGGCGCGGGCGCGGCGGGAGCGGGAGCGCGAGGAGGAAGCGCGGCGCGCCGAGGAGGCACAGCGCATCGCCCGCGAGATGGAGAGGAGTCTGGCGCGCGGGGAGGAAAGGCGCCGCAGGAAGGCCTGGCGCGAGCAGTGGGACCGGTACACGACCCGCTGGGCGGAATGGGACGCCGAGGGTGGAGGTGGTGGAGTGGAAGGGATTCCTTGGCCCGGGGAGGATCGTTGCTCTGCAGAGGGGGTCAGGGCCTTCTTTGTCAACGGTTTGGGATTGCAGGAGGTTGGAGAGAAAGAGTTCCTCGCGCGCTTGAAGGAGGAGAGGGTCAGGTGGCACCCGGACAAGATCCAGCAGCGGCTTGGGGGCAAGGTGGATGAGGAGGTCATGCGGAAGGTGACGGGCATTTTTCAGGCCGTGGATGCGTTGTGGAATGATACCCGGAGGAACGCTAGTTAGGCGCAAAGGGCGCTAGCAAGTTGATACAGACTTGCCTTTGCTTTGGATAATACCAAGTGCATCATGCCTTCCTTCCTTCAGCATGGACTGCCAAATCCAGCGGTGCGATTAGGAAGAAGCAGGCATGTACCTGCTGTTAGTTTAGCCCAATTTTGTCACGTTAAAATTGTCCTCTCGACTACCCATCTTAACAATTTGGCCGCTCAGTACCTATCGTGCCAAAGAGGATGCTTCCACCTCTCGTCAGCAGGCATGAAATCGGGGCAGGTACCAGCAGGTCTCCATAGACCGGCAGAACTTGAAGCAAGCACTTCTCGTTTAGCAGCTGCAACTGGCGTCGGCGACTCAACCCCTCCTCCGATTACCGCGCTTCTCTTAGGTTTGATCTCGATTCATTAGAGGTACAACTCCGTTGTCTGCTGCCCCCATATTCAAGTTCCAATCCAATCCATCGGTTGTCTCACCTCTGCCGGGGAAATTAGACGGCGGAAACAGGTGACTGACTGAACAACCGTTCTCGCACATATACTGTAAGAGAATACGGGCCAGTTTCTGTCATAGTCAGCCGGGAAAGTGGGAAAGAGAAGCAGAGGCATGGTGCCTAACTGTGGCGCACTTGGAGGGGAGGGGGGAAAGCACATGGGTTCAACTTCATCAATATCTGGCCAGGGGAAGGAAATATCATTATCCACCTCTCACGCTACGAATTCAAGGGTACATCCAGGTTGGACACGAGTGTATAGCTAATTAAAAGCTCCAGGACGAGCACGATCACAGAAATCATGGACCGGCATCTAATAGCAGCAGCAATCAGGTTCTCGGCCTATCAATGACATACACTTACAATCTCTCCCGTCTTGATGTGGCATCAAGACGCCTCCTTCCTGTCATTTTCAGCAAGCAAGCAGAAAAAGAAAAGAGCCTCTCAGAATCCACAAGGCAACAGAAACCTCTTCTTATTACGCCCGCCTCTAATCCACACAAACCCCCTTCACTACACTACACGCAATACACATCACAACCCCCCTCAACCCCTGCCAAATCGCGACCCATCCTATCCTTCCATCCACAGACCACACAGTAAATAAACCCCTCACAAATAACCAGCAACCACCACTCCCCCAGCAAGCATGACCGCGCCGACACCGACCCCGTTAGCAACCCTCTTCATGGCACCGCTGGTACCACCACCCCCGCCAGCACCACCACCACCGCCGCCGCCTCCAGTGGTGGTAGCAGCGGCGCCCGTCTCGGTCTCGGACGCCGACGCGGCGCTGGTCTGGGCGGTGTTGTCCGACGAGGTGGCGGTGGCCGAGCTGATGGCGCTCGAGACGCTGCTCGTGATGGAGGCGAGGTTTGACGAGGCGGCCGAGCTGAGGGACGAGATGAGCGAGGACAGGGACGAGGCTGTGTCCGTGCTGGTGGCCGTGTCGGTGTCGGTGTCGGCGGTGGTGGTGGAGGTTGTTTGTTGGGCCTTTTATTCATTGTTTGGTGTCAGTTGGAGCAGCTTTGGATAGGGATGGATTGGGGGGAATGGACTTGGGTATAGGATCGTGAAGGCAGGATTGAGACGGGAGGGACATACCGTAGCCAGAGCGGCCAGGGCGGCGATGATGGGAATGTAACGCATCCTGAATCCCAAGGGTTGTTCTGAGTGGTTCGGGAAATAGAGGGTGTGATGGGCGTGCTTTGAGATGAGGAGACAGGAACTTCACAGGCGGAAAGGAGAAGAAGGTCTAGATGGATAGTTTTGGTGATGGTTCGGTTTATGTGGAAGAACACCCACCATCGGTCTGGAGGCAGACTACTTATACACGTGCTAAATCGTAAGACCTGATGCATCTGGATCGACACAGCCGCGGGACGGTCAGGCATTTGATGCTGCGATTCCTGCCATAGGGTTTGGCCGGCGGCCGCAACACATCCGCCACGGAGGGGCTGCGAGCAGCCGAGCACCACCGAGCGATCGAAGTGGGCACTGCTCCCCCTGCTTTGGAGTATTATCGCGGATGCAACGGCTCTGAGCGGATCCGGAATCTGGCCGGAGTCCCTAAAATAGTTTATGCGATGGACATGGCGAATGATGAACTGAGCGTCGTAGTCTTGCCCCCTCCTAGAATATTGGCATCATCGTGCGGAACCGTCGCTATCACGGTTCGTCACCATTTAAGGCGGGCCACAGCCCTATAATTTCAAGCGCAGATGGCAAGCAGGCCTGAAATCAAAACACCGGTTCAACGGTTAGGGAGCGCGGTGTGCCCTTTGTGAAGCGGCTTGAACCTTCATCGACAATCTCGTCGTGATGCGAGATTTCTGGCCCCAACACCTGTTAGGGAAAGAGAACATAATACATAGCATGGAATGCTCGAATGTACATACTAGCCCAGAGCTACCGTTTGGAACTGCTGCGAATCCGGACGAGAACTTCCCCTGCACTATCTGCAGGTATGCTGCAGCCACGCGAACCACGCCACTGGGTGGGCAAGCATCCCAACTTTATTTCGACTGTCTGCGGTCGCGGTTGACCAGGCTGGTTCGTCAGCCAATGGGGCTGGGGCGCCGTTCCCCTTGCGTGATGTCACCATTATTACGGTCAACGTTTGTGCGGTCCCGCATTGTCGCACGCCGTCTCAATCAGAAACCGATCGGCGGAGAGCTACTGTGAGAAGTCAACCGGCGGCTGACGTTGCGCTGTGGCTGGTTGTTTGCAGTTCCTGCAAGGCCTTCAGACCTCTCGATAAGGGGAAATGCGGGTCTTGAGTTCGTCAACTATCTCAGCCGCGTATTCCGGGCCGCTCGTGACGAAGTCGTATCTCTTAGACTCGGTCGACTTGTACACAACGACCTGAACCGAGACGGTTAGTAAGCGACCTGGCTCAGAAGGCTTTGGCTGACTTGTTGGCAACGTACGCTGAAGTTGGCCGGATGTTTCCTCGAGACCTTGCACCCTACCACGTTGCTAAAATGGACCGTGGTCAGTTTACCGTCCAACTCGGCCAGCTTTCCGCCTGAGGCAGGCATGATATGAATGTAGTCCCCGTCAATGGCAAAAATCTTCTCCGAAGTCATGCGCATTGCCTGCTTTCGCCAGACCGTGTACTTCTTGTAATTGGGCCCGACACCCAGTTCATCTTGCTTCAAGACTTCCTTGGCAAGTGGGTGAGTTCCTAGGAGCTTGGATTTCTTCGTCTTGGTCCAGCTTGCATTATCGCCGAAGAGATGCGGCCTCGGCGAAGAGCTACTGGGTGATCCGGTCATGATGAGGGGACCATCCGTAGCAAAGCGGCGCCGGTAGAGGTCTAGGTCAGTGATGTTACCGAGTGAAGCAACCGTACGGTCGAGCAACACGACGGTTCCCGAGTTGGGAAGCTTCAAGACATGGTTGGCCTTGTCGAGTTGCCGCTTCCGACAAGCGATATCCAAAACGTCGGCCAACCAAGTGTCGGTGCGAACATCAAGCGTGAGCATTTGACCCGGAGCAGCATCCGAGGAATGAATGTAGATTCGCAACAGCCTCTTCTCCCCGCGAGCGGCGCTAGGGGTGTTTGCCGGCTGATTGGACTGGGGCATGTCCGCAAACATTGTCGTGTTCGCACGATATGCCGTGTTGAGGAGCGGGTTCTCTCGGGGCTGGTCGGGAACGTGCAGGGCGGCCTCGGGCCGCGGCGTGTTCCGCGGTGTCAAGTCCTTGTCATCCTCGCTGCCGCCTACTTCTTGTTCGAACTGCGGGGTTGTGCGCTGATTCTCTTCGAATTCCTCTTGTGATGCCGGTGCCAGGGCAAAGATGTCGTAGACCTTGGAGTTGGAGCGAGAGCGGCCGGCCTTGTTGTTCGCCGTCGTGAACGATATGAGCTGCTTTTTGCGTTCAAGAGGCGGAAAATCCTCATCCACTTCGCCGTCTTCCTCGACCATGCGTAAAACCCACCAGTTCACGTTCAGCTTGTCCTCGGGCAACGGTGGCTCCAGTTTCTCCTCGTTGTAGCGCCATAGACTGAGGCCAATCAAATCAGCGACTGTCACTGCTCTGTCTCCGCCTTGGCCTTGATGTACCGTCCGTCGAATCAGGACCTCGAACGGTTTCGAGGGCTGCTTGGAAAAGGGGGCATAGATTCGGAGCATGATGGGATTCGGGTCGCCCTGTCCCGAAAGTGAAGCGAAACCGTCAAATGGGAGGGTTGGCTTCGTCTTCTTGGCGTTGAGGGCGGCCGAGAGCAAGCTTTTGGGCTGCACCATGCTCAGCGGCCGAATGGTGCTCATGGGCCGTGGAGGCGGCAGCTCTCCAACCGGGACTTGTAACGGCGCAGGCATGGCCGATTTGCGTATTGTGGATCTCCGGGTAAGCTCCCTTGGCACGGCGCCAACTACCTGATCTCTCAGGGACCCGTTCAGAGGATTTTTTACGGCGTCCAGGATTGATGCCGAGTCTATGCTCTCAATAAAAGCTGATGACACGTCGGAAGCGTCAGAATCGTCTTCCTCCTCCTCGAGAAGCTCACTCCCACGGCGTTTTGCCTCGCCAGTAGGTTCCGTGTTTAGCTTGACCGACAGCTTGGTGGCGCGTCCGGCAGCTGCATGGGCAGCGTCCCGCTGCTTGTGGAAGGCTGAGGTGTCAAACTCGTTCTCGGATGAGACCTCGCTGCTGGTCACGGTGTCGCGACGCGCCCTCTCCTTTACCGTCTCCAGTGCAGAGTGCGACCCTCGCCTTGGCGCGGGACGGGGCGAAGATAGGGTGGTCGTCTGGCGGAGATTGGACGACTGCAGGGGAGAAGAACCAGAGCGATGCCTCACAGGCATTTTGGCAAACTTGATTTGCTGTGCAGCGCGCTGGTCTGGCTCGTCGTCGCTCTCATCGCTCAGATCACTGCTGTCGTCTTCCTCCATCTGTTCGCGCCGGCGTCGGCGCTTCGTCGCCATGCTAGGGCCCGTAGCTTCGGGGGCGTCGCCTGAGAACAGGCCTCCTTCTTCGCCCTCATCTTCGAGGGTGCGGCCGGCGAGGCGGGGCGCCTGAAAGTACTCTGAAGCAACAGCGGTAGGAATCGGGGGTGAGTGAGTCCTCTTGATGAGAGCGGGATCTGGGCGCCATCCCGCAGACTTAAAGGGCGCCGAATTGAGGAAGCTCTCGTTCAAGGTGAAGAGGCGTTCCCCTACCCCGTCGGCAATGTCATTGAGGTAGCTGGTCCGCAACTGGTACAGTACCAGACTGAACAAGGTCAGCATCACCAACAGTTCAGCGGCGTACTTGAAAGAAGGAAGCCATACTCTTCGACTTGAATTACCGACATTTCTGTGCTGGGAGGGCATGAATAGAGTCTTGTCGAGTGCCTTCACGATCGGGTGGCTGATCGTAAGATGGTTTGTTTGTATCAAGATCGCTGCGTTTGATAACAGGAAACGAAGAGCTCTGAAAGTCTGAGGGTTGCTGCGCCGTCAGGAGGGAGAGGCCGTTGTTGCGACCTCTTGTAATGCCTGAGGGTTTAGTTATGAATCGGACACAGAAAGTGGAAGCATTATTTGTAAACAGAACTCAAACCAGGGAGCATCTGTGATCAGGGGGACTGTGTCTGTTGACCAGAGCTCAGGTTCCCAAGATGGTTTGATGGCGGGGTGAATGAAGTGGGACGAAACACTTGGGTATGTCAGTGGCGAGCCACGATGTACTGTACTGTACGGAGTAGGCCACTGTAATACCGGAGTGATAGTGTCAACCGGTAAATTACGGTACTGTTCTTGTAACGTTACTGGGATTTGTTAAGTGGTCAGTGGGTCTTATCGATAATTCACATCAAGCTCCGCTTGCAGCTTTGATCTCCTGGGGCGAAACGTCACGTCAGCCAACCCAACTCTCCCAACTCCCAAGTCCCGAGTGCAGCATCTGGACATCAAAGGCGCGAGACCCGCCTCGTCGCAACCATGGGCCTAGTTGACTACTCAGACTCGGAATCCGATTCCGAAGATGTGCAGCATAAAATCGCATTGCCCACGACGACATCGGCTTCGGCGGCGGCAACCAAAAAGCCATTCCAAAAGCTGCTCGACCGCTCATCGGGTTCTGGCAAGATTGTCGTAAACCTTCCAGCAGCGAGCGCAAACTCCGACGCCGCCGCAGATGATGATGGACAGCCGCCCGCGAAGCGAGTCAAGACCACAGGCGGAAGCAGATTCAGCAGCCTTGGCTCGTTTCTGCCACCGCCAAAGAAGACGGGGGGCGCAGCAGCAGCTGCTGCAGGTGGAAAGAAATTGGGTACTGCGCATGCACCCGGGATTCACCTGAGGACAGCCGCGGAACCAGCATTTGTCAGAAGCGGCAACGGAACTACTGAGGACGGCCATGGTGACGATGAGACCTCGGCTTCGACTATGGGAATCAAGGGGCCGTCAATACCCGAAGGGCAGAAGCCGGAAGAGGAGGTGAAGCTGGTGGGAAAACCGCTCATGTTCAAGCCGCTGTCGGTGGCGAGGAAGAAGGCACCAGCGAAGAGCAAGAAAAAAGACAGCCCAACTACCACAGGCAACACAGCCGGCGGTATGACCGCAGGCCAAACCGGCTCAATCACAACGGCCACGACAACGACGGCAGCAGCGGAGACTGCTCCCAATATAGACCCGCCCAAGAAAAAGGTCCCCCTATTCTCCATGGGCGATGCAGACGGCGACTCCTCGCCTTCCACCACAACCGCCCCACCCACCACAGGAAGCTACGAACCGCTCTTCACCGGCGCAAACGAACCATCAGCTGCTGCCGCGGCTGACTTTGAAGAACAGGAAGAAAACGACGTAACGTCGGCTTATCCGACCCAAGCCCTATCGCTACCCCAGCCGGTCTCCGCAGCTCAACAACATCAACATCAAGACTCGCTAGCCTCCCTAGCGGACTCGCTCGACCTCAGCCCGGCCGCGCGGCGCGAGCTGTTTGGTCGAAAGGGGGCGAACAACAACAACACCAGTCTATCCGGCGCGCTGCCGCCGAACGCCAAAGTGGTCACGTTTGACATGGAGCAGGAGTACGCGCGCAACGAGGCGCTGCGCGCGTCGGGCGCGCAGCAGGCGTACAACCCGGTGCGGTCCATCGCGCCGGGTAAGCACAGCCTGCGGCAGGTGGTCAACATGGCGCAGAGCAACCAGAGCGCGCTCGAGGACAGTTTCGCGCGCGCCAAGGGGACCAAGCGGGACGCTGCGGGCCGGTATGGCTGGAAGTAGAGCACTGTCGCTATTCCAATGTGATATACCGCGGTCCAGGCTGATGGGATTGAATCCAGGTGAGGGTAAATGGTATCATATGATGCATATTCATTATTCGTCTTTCCTTCCTGGAAAGGAAGGGGTGGACCGCAAAACTATGTACAAGCGCCGAAAACCATCTCGGCATGCCATGCATGTCCAGTCTGGTATATCACATCAACACGAGCAACCCACCATCAGCACGTCTCGACTCTAGCAACCCTCCCAATCAACCCCTCCCCCATCAGAAACCCCCACTCGCCTCTTGTGACGGGCGAAATGTCGTCGTACCCATTCGGCGTCATCGGCCCGACCCGTTCGACTCTTTCGTCCGCCTCGGTCTCCGCCTCTTCATGGCCCTGCTGCTGCCCACAACCGTGCAGCAGCATCCCGTCAATTGACGTGCCCCCGTTGCTTCCTCCTTTGCCGCCGCTGATTCTGGTTCTGCTCCAGTGTGAAGGCTTGCCCTGGCTTTGGTTGTGGATTTCGGCAGGGGTAGGATTGGCGGAGGGGAAGGGAAAGGAAACCGACAAAGGGACGATGTGGGGGTCAGGGCCTGTCTTGATCGCGCTGGTTGGGCGGGCTGTGAGGTCCTCCTCTTCCTCCTCCGCAGTGCCTTGAGCCTGGGTGTTGGGGTCTTGTTGCTTTGCGGTCTGGGCGCGGTCAAAGGTCGTTTGGAGTTTCAGGGCGAGGGCCCGGCCCGGGGGTGCGGGTTGTAATTTGGGGCTCGTGCTTGCTACGCGGAGCGTGACATGGATTTCATTGTCGACAGGGCGCTGCTGTCGGGGGGCATAAGGAGGTGACTTAGGCGGAGGTGGCGGTGGTGTCGGCGATGGGGAAGGGGGCATGATTTCAACTAGAGCAGGATGGGAGCGTAGCGGGTCGATCTGACCGACGTGTACCCGACGATACCACGTTTCGACTGCGTCGAGGTCGGAATGATCGTCTAGGTTGGGTTCGCAGGCGGAGAGGAGGATTTCCTTGTCGAGGTCCCTTGATTCGTGGTCGGGAGCGGGTGTCTCCAACCGGGGTGGTGTTTCTGGTCGCCGGTATGGTGGTTTTTGTTGGCAATGTCCGTTCCGGCGGTCTGGAATCGCCATTTCCATCCTCGCCGTTGGTTCTCCATCGCCCTGGCTGCGCTCAGCAAGTGGCCAGGCCGCAATGGGACCAATATCATCCTCCACGCCACTGTCCCGCTCGACGCCTCCGTATGCCCGTTCATACATATGGCAGACATCGGCCAGAGCCGCGTCGCTAACAGGGCTGAGCCAGCGGTATGCGGCCAGCAGAGCGCTCTTGCGCAAGGGACGTCGCCCGTTGGCAAGAAACACGCGACGCAGCTCGTCAACGGCATCCTCGAGGCGACTCAGCGTTTGCGTGGTCGCGTAAGCTTGGAGGGCGGTGCGCAACGTGTACAAGCGGTCGAGTGAGAGGACTGTGAGGTGCTCTGATGAGAAGAGGGCCTCATTTTGCGTGGTTGAGTTCCAGACCAAATCCACGGGCAAGCCGAGGGTGGAGGGAGATACGGGTTGGGGGAGCCAAATGGGGCTATTCTCACGGGTCAGCATTCCTTCGTCGAGGATGCGGGGGGTGGAGATGCTCACTCTAATTTGAATTTCTTTGCCGCCTTATCCAGCGTCTGCGAGAGCGTCTTCTCTTCACGAGGACCTAGGGGATGGGCATAAACAAGCTTGATGCCGAACTGGCCAGCACCTGACACTGTCCCCCTGCCCATTTCAGATGCTCCCGATAGCGAGCACACGGTGGTAAACGGGGTGGCAGGTGTTACGGGCACACTGCCGTATATCGCTGGGCTGCCTGGCCACCGGCGATGACTGAACGTTGAGTCGGTGGTGGCGACGGACGAGACAGTTGAGGTCGTCGATGCCTCGCTGAAAGCGGGCGATAAGGTCCCATTGCGGAAGTGATCCAGGTGTACGTGGAGGATTCTCTCTCGAATCTGGTCTTCCCCGGAATTTGTTGGCCGGAGAAGTTGTTTCAGGGCGTCTATCCGGGATGAGACGGACGCAGGCGGTGATGCAGGGCCCTGTGCTGGAGCAGACCAGGGCGCGGTGGGCAGCTGGTAGTCCCGACGGACAACCAACAGTGTGATATGCGCCGCTTTCCTCCCCAAACGCTTGGATGCGTACTCGAGAGCATCGCTGACGTTAGTTGGAAGCTGATGACCGTCGGCAACGGAGTGGCCGGCCTCGAGCGGCGAGGAGATGCGGCGCCTGAGGCACGGAGAGGAAGCCATGCTGTTACGGCTCCGTCTGATGATGTCGTCCACGGAAACAGATCGAGAGGGCAGGTTGGGGTAATTAATCCCATCAACTCAATGTTCCACTTCGAAGCAAGGGATGCGGCGGAGGAGGGGGGGCAAAGTCTGCTTGGCCGCGTTGTTGCCGAAGATGATGGAAACTTAAACTCGGGTCCCTCGAGAGAGAACAAGTATCATACATGCCCGAAATAAGAGATGTTGTGCATCTGAGTATAAGCCGTCTTGTTTCATGTCCAGATTTGGAACGGCGGGAATCTCAAACAATAATCCCAGATGACATAGGCAATGGGCAATGAAAGGGGTACGCTACGCAGGCCGTGATGGCAGGCTAGAGGGAGTTATGTTAAAAAAAGAGTGGGCGGCTACAAGCCGTGATGACTTGATAGCGAGGAATGGAGGAGGGCAACTCTGAAAATGATGTGATAAAAGGCAGCGACCAAAAACGTGAAACGAGACACCATCGACCGAAGAGAGTTGTTTCATGACGTAGCACCAAGCCGTTGCAGTAAGCCATTGCCCGCGAAGACGGGCCATCTCCAATGGCTAATATATCTACATGTATATGCACGATCTATTGCAGTGTAAGGTAGTTTATTCGCCGGTCTGCGTGCGGTGTGCTGCAGATGCACGACGTGCATGCGAATTGGGGTCGCTCAAGGTTGGCCCTGGGTCCCTAGGCGAAGACCATGCAGCTACTATAGTTCCGGTCGTGATGAGGGTTGATGAAGGTGGGGAGCCAGCCCCAATTGTGACCGCGAGAGCAAGGCTCATCCATTATACTGTAGGTCATCTGGTGTAGCTGTGTAACTAGCCAACCCTCTGCTGACCTTCCATTTCAGTGGGATCTTGATCTGATTTTCTGAGCAAACTTGTCATGAAGCTCTGGATACCGGTATAGTTAACAAACAATCTCATTTAAGAAGAGGAACCAACTTACACCCGATCTCAACTCAACAAACATCGAATCTTGCCCTCACGAATTCAGCCTGCCACCCCACTCCCAACCACCATCACACAGAAACAAGAGAATAAGAAACAAAACAAAAAGCGGATAACGTTATCACGAATCCCTGAAGTAACGCAAGCCCCCATCAGTGTCCCACTGGTTCTGGCTGTGATCAAGGACGGGGGATGCAAACAAGTACAAGACAGCAGCCAATGCCAAAAGATGCGAGATGCCCGATGCACAATGCGAGATGCAGGACCCAGGGATCACGGCGGCTACCGCCAGCTTGCCCTTGTCACAGCAGTGATCCCTTACCGTTCAAGTGTGTACTGTACGGATTCTGAACGTAGTGTACGGAGTACTAAATTGTAATTACAATGTAATTACGCTACCTACCCCGCAGGGCCAGTGAGGTGGGCCCGCCTGGATCGGGGTGGGATCCCGAAAATAGCGCCAAAGCCAAGATCTACGGGCTATGGACGGCTTTTCTTTGAGGGCCCGTCAATCCAGCCAATGCCGTGGCCCGGCGTCTAAACTGTCGCTGCCAAGAAGGCCCAACGACACGGCAATGATGGCATCCGGGCTCGTGGCAGCAAGAAACATCTATTTTTACCTTGCCACTCTTGTCGATAGATACTCTTTGATCTGAGCTTCATAACCCAATAAGAGCCCAAAATTCCAGTTGTGATTGGTTGATCGGGTTGAGCCTCAAGAGTGGCACGATATTCACCAAACTCCGCAGCGCAACTGCTCATCACAGGGTAACCTGGTGAGGCACCCAGGTAGAGATTAGGGGTTGGGCTGGATTTGCAAGTACCTAATGGTCTTGCCAGTCTGCCGTGTAATGTGGGCGTTGAGGCTCATAGTCTCAGAACGGGTCCCTGGGGCGAATCAATAAAACCAAGCCAAACAGAAACAAGACCCCAAGTGCCAGGCTGCTGGACGAGGCTATCTCCATCATCGCCAGCAACCGATTGTCTATTGGATTTCTCTCTGATGCAGTTGATCAATCTAAGCCGCACCTTGACCGAGCCCAATCAGACCAGAACCCCGTTCGTCTATCCCTCCTGGAAGCTTTCTCTCCTCCCAACCCAAGTAAAGCAGACGTCGTCTTCCGCAGCAGCGAGAAGGACGTAAAATGACCAATGCCCCGTGTCCCATGTTCCCATGTCCCGTAATCCGGTACCCGATGTCGATTTGTGACCTTTCCCCAGGACGCCGTCGCTCCCAAGGACTAATGCAGACTTCGTTTGTGCTATTATTGGTTTCAATGCACCTAGAAACAACCAACCACCCCATGGCCGGACCCCTTTTTCCGGCTGCACTCGTCGTCTCGTGGCCTCGTCATATCGTACACCGTGCTCAGATGCGGGTATGTTTGCGGAATAAGAAAGAAATTGGCAGACCTGTGAGGGGAGCCAGCAGGGGAGCCCGTAATGACGAGCCCTCAACACTTCACTGCAAGTCTCCTGCCTGCAGTTCACCAGTCGCAATGTCTCCAAAAGCGTCCAGCTGACCAGAGCACCCCGACGAGTTCTCCCACTCTGCAAAGATGTGGTCTGATATCAGCCAGCTGTGTTGCTGGACCTGATGCTCTCGGAGTCGCTGTAGTACATACCGGAGCCGTCTTCCTCCAGTTCATCGACGACCATGAGTCTGGTCAACGCCTCAAAAATTCCTGTTCCAGACTGTTAGTCCATCTCCGACCCACAAATCAACCATGTACCGAAAAAATAGAGAGCCTAAAAGGGAGAGCAGAAGGATGCTTACCTTGAATGTGCAAGGCAAATTCCTGCGCTTCCTCATCATCCGTGAAGTACTTGCTGCACTGTTTAATCACCCGCTGCAGCCCGCTGACAAGGCGCTCTGTAACGTCAACGTTCCTAGCGACGTAATTATCGCGCAAAAACAAGATACACCTAGTCCCCAGTGCTTTAGCCGTGCTGTTCATTTTCTCTGCCAATTCTGCCGCTTCGTCCGCATTTTCGGCGTCGGGTAACCGGTATGAACGGTATTGGAAGATCTTCTCCTGGAGGAATGTCTCCACCTCTTCGCTGACCGACGTGTCAAAGTATCCCAACAAACTGGGTGCCCATTCGGGCACAAATTCGAGAGATCTCATGACGACCTGGTGCGCTGTCTCCCCCGATCTCTCCCGAGGCCCATCAAAGGTCTCGCGTAGAAAATCCAGGAACGCCTTGCCTTCTGCACTTTGCAATGACAGGCATTGCTGCGACACATGCCCGATCAACTCATTGATGACCTGCGCTCGGCTTGCCACGCGGCAGAAGACGTCCCCAGCGACACGCAGGTAGGGTGTGACGTTGTATTGGGTCACCTGGCCGCTGATCCCGTGTTGGAGTGTGCGGTATACTGCTTCTTCCATCTGTTGGCTCTGTTTTATCAGATTGCCGATGATCGAGTAGGTCGCCTGAGGATTCTGGCTGATGCAAATGAGCCTGTCAAAGAAAAGATTGACGGGAACCGTGCGGCAGTACATATGCAGAATTTCGGCTTCACTTCTGGTAATCTCGAACGGCTGGTCCAAATCCGGGTTAAGCCTGACACGATCCCTAGCGTGGATCACCCCTTTGACGGTCCCAGCCTCAGTGTAGGACAACCGGATGTTTCCAAGCAGGTAATCCAAGAGCGCAAGTATCGTTTCGTAAGCAGGCGGACGGGCTGCCGGCCTCCTCGAGACCATAGCAAGCATCTTCACAAACTGCTGAGGTAGCAACGACTCCGAGTTTGCGTCAGCCCACACGATGTAGAGCAGATTTCTGAGGAAGTGCGGCTGTGCCAGGAAGGCTGCAAGCTCGTGACGGCCCAATTTGACAAACGACAGCATAAGATCGAATACCTCGGGCCATGACCGCAGGTTGATCTGGAAATGCTGCCAAAAGTGTTCGAATAGGCGTATCACGCCCGCGATAACACACGTCCTGGGGTCGAATTCGTCCTCGTCGTCATCTCCTTCCTGTACCGGCAGCCCATACTGCACAGGTACTTGCGATTTAATGACTTGGAGGAGTCTGATCAATAAGCCAGCTGTCCCTTGGCGGACATCCGCATCCGTGTTCCTCTGGACCAACATCCTGAATGTTTCGGGATATTGGGCGAAGTAGCTAAACACGGCAAGGCTGCAGCGGACGCATCCCTGACACATAGTTCGTAACCGACTGAGCAGATTGTAAAAGTCTGGAACGTCCTTTGTCCTCGATGCGACCTGGTCAAGATGGCCCAACGCCATGCTAAGCGCCTGCGTCTCCATGATGTGGTCCCGAGAGCATCCGTTAGAGTTGAAATTTTTCAGTTGAAGAAGGGCCAAACAGACGAACTGGATCTGGGAGGGGTCGAATAGGCAATGCCTCCGAAGGATCCAGGTATTCTCCATCTCAATGTGTTCTTGCATTGCCTCGGGAATCTCCACCCGAATAGGAGTGGAGCATCCGGATTCCCTCACTAGCGCTTGGTTTTGGGCCAGGGAGGACGACCGCTGGTAGAATAGCATGTAGGCACTGTACTGCTTCTCATACACCTGGTTGTTTGGCTGGAAGTGGGGCTGATAGTCAGGGCCTCCAAAGCACGAGCTTGCCATCAGTGCAGGGTCCCATGAGCTGACGATATCATCATTGAATTCGACCCATGTGGGTGCATCGTCCGCTGTTGGCCGCTCTCGGACGTACGAATAGTAGTGCCCCGAGTCGGCCGTTCCAGAATGAACAAGGATGCCGACCAGCTCAAAGATGTCTTCCGACTGGTCCTGAGCGGGATTGCTCAAGTGATCAATGGTGTAAGGACGCATATCGATCTTGGTTGGGAAGGCAAAATACTCATTGATCTTACTCCGATGAAGGGTCCGCAAGCTAAAGTCGAAGCGCTTTAGGTGGAAGATCAGGTTGTCCGGTATGTCCTTGAGGCAAGCCCTGTTTGGCGCGGTCAGCTTCCAGCAATCGCTCAGTAGAGAGAGGAGCCTCCAACTTACCTCTTCACAGCATCGACATGTCTATCGCAGGTCGAGCACTTGTACTTGTTGTCTAGGCTTGTGTCAGTGACTAAGGCTGATCCTTAGAGGATGAAGATCACCCACCTCCTTCCATGATTTCGCCATCGACGTAGGCCTGCAAGCTTTCTTGCAACGAGCTCTTGCCTTTGATATCGCATTGAATGGCAGAGAAAGGCTCAAGCCTCTCGGAAACGTGCTCGCACTCTTGAGACCGAACTTGTTGGACTAGCTGGCCGCCGTAGAAGGAACGAAAACGATTCTTTTCGTCGTTTGTCAGGAATTGCCCTTCCCATCGGTCGAAAAGCAGATTGTAGAACTCGTCTACATCCATTTGGAGGGCGATATCAATTTGCGTGTCATCGTAGGTCTTGATACTGGCAACACAGTCCTCAGGGTTGATGAAACGGCGAAGGCTATTTTGCATAAATGCAAATAGCTTCTGAGTCTGAAAGAGCAAACCTTGGGTGTGATCGGGATCCTGAACGGCGGCGGTGAGCATGAACTGCCGGAATTCGACATTCATGAATAGTTGGGCAAAGAGTGAGTTGAAATAGCAAGTGTTTGAGAGGTTCCTCAGACCCGGGTAGCCGCAAGCCGCTCTGATCGCCTTTGCCCTTTCAAACTGCTGTGGGAGCTCGTAATCGTAGTAATCACCTTGAGATTTGGTCAGCATGGCTCACGTATCATCACAGGGAGCAAGCCGGATATCTCACCTTCGGAGTCTGGATACACCGGAACCAGCCTGTCCATGTCCTCAAGGAGCCACATGAACTGGGTGGGGTCATCATGAACCAAGGAGAAAAGAATTTCTAGGAGAAGAGAGCGCGTTTCGGGAAACACAACCGGCCGGCCGGGCTCAAGTTCTCTCACCTTCTCTTCTGGATGCGGGAAGAGGTGCTTCCAGAACAGTTTCCGTGCAATGCCGCTGTGGAAGTTAGGAGAACGCATCGCATATGACGAGGCGTAGGGGGTAGAGACGAACCTCGGCGGAAGGATCTCGCGGCGGAGTGTCTTACTACTCCCGCATATGAGAGTGTGCAAGAGCCGAGTAAGGCTGGCTGCCACGAAATCGATCTGATCAGGTTTGGTCGGATCCTACAAAGGTCGAAGTTTAGAGTCTGCAGAAAGATTACAAGATTCCAGAACTTACTTCAAAGGTTGTATAACCGAGCAGTAATCTGAACCAATCGTTGGAGAGGTCTTTGAGTTTGAGGATTCCAGACTGAGCATCTCGCAGGGTCTGGAACATCTCTAGGCACAAGCTAAGAATCTCTTCCGAGTTGACAGGGTTGGCGACCGCTTGCCCAACAAGGCGAGATATCTGTGGCCAAAAGAATTCTCTCAATTTCAAAGTCGCGGAGGCATCGTCAAGGCGGCTGATGAGATGTTGTTAGTGAAACAAGGTTCTGAATAATCAGAAATTGGCACGCCTTCCATACCTTTGACCTTCTTTGGCTGGACTGCATTTCTGACTGATAAGCACGGCAGTGCTCTCTCTGACAGCGACTCGTGGGTCGTGGAGCAGCAGGTCCTCGAGCAAGCGCGGGACCTTTGGATGGGCGCAAAATGTTGACAGGAAGACCTCACTCATGGAACAGGATTCAAAGATACTCTGAAGACAGAGGGGCACGTGTTTCGTAGCGCTGTCCGGCGTGTTGGTCGAAAGAGCTGCTGAGAGCATAGCCAAAAGGCGATCCAGCAGAGGCGCGTCGAGAAGCTTGGCCGCCGAGCCAGGGAGTTGTGGGTCTGTGGAAGCGGACGTGAGAAGACGCAGGTCATACAAACAATTTGGAAGGGTATCGGTCATACCTTTGAGGAGCGAAACCAACAGCTCTACCAGGGCAGAACCAAGTTCGATTCGCAATTCATGACCCGGGCATTGCACAGTGACCTGTGGGTCCGAGAGGGCCGGGACGATAAGGGACATGGCTCGGGCCAAGGAAGCAGCCCGGTGATCTGGCGGCCCATTCGTCTCACCATCCTGCCCTGCGAAGGAAGAGCCTATTGACCTAGGGCGTTCGGACTGCAGATACTCACGAAGCGCATGTACGGCGTAGAGAGATTTGAAGGGCTGTCCTAGGGAAAATATGTCCATGTACGAGAGCGAGGAATCATCAATGGATTCAAGGACGCCCTCATCGGCCGGCAGTTTGACCAGGAAGCGGTAAATCTGGAAATGGTGGAATCAGTCACATGTATCAGGTATCAACAGGTGAACGACTTGAATATTTACCTCACGAGCGAGTTTCTCTTCCATCGATAGGTACTCCCACAGCTCCTGGAAGCGGCTGAGGATCTCAATCTCAACAGGAGAGGCTCCGAGGCGGATTTTCGGGATAATTGGGGCTTGGGACTCTCTCTTAACAAGGATGATGCCGTTGTGGATTTTGAGATCCTCGAGGGACTTGCAGATGTCGTTTTCGTGTGGAACAAACGGCCGGCCTCGGTAGTATATTTGGTAATTCTCGAAGCCCGTGGCCTCCCGCAGACTGGCCAAAAGCGAAGCTGCGGTGTTGCGCTTGCCAATGTTCAGGGGCATGACCTTTGTTTGCCTGTCCCCGTCGAATGACTGGTATTTTAGTTCTGCTGACTCGCCTTCTATATCCTTGGGTGACTCCAGGATGAGCGATCTCATATCGGGCGCCGAGAACTCTGGCTTGGCTTGGTGGAGTCGGTGAAACTCGCTCAAAACCGCAAGGGATCGGATGAAGAGCAGCTCTTGCTCCCGCATCTGTTGTTCTGTGGGGACAATCACCATGGAATCATCATCACCGCTTGTAGAACCGTCGGCGAAAGCTTTAAGCCTGGTGGCTGCCGAAGAGAGCTGTTGAAGACAACGGCCGACAAAGGCCAGGTGTACTTTTCGTGCCCTATAATGCGGGAACGACAGGATAGACCGGCTCTCAATATAGATGTCGCTAACCAATGTCTGAATTGCCCGCTGCTCAATGGTGCCGCTGGGAGCAGTCAGGATCATTCGCCATAGCAGCTCAATGCCCGGGTGATTAGCACTGTCACAATCATCAAGTATGATACTCGCCGGATCGTTGACGAGCGGCAAAACCCATTCGCGCACGAAATCGAGAGTGCCCTGACAGAAGAATTCCGGGTCCAGGGTCGGAAGGTACTCGGCAAAGCAAGTTGATGTAAAGGAGTTGTCCCCTTGGCGGTTCCCCTTCATCGTCTGGTTCAGGAGCTGCCACGCAACATCCCTGTCCTCCTGACAAGCCGCCCTCGAGCCCACGAGGAGATCCCATAGCTTCTGTCCGAGAGATTTGGTGATGGATGATGCCTCTTGTGACATCAGCGATGAAAGAAGCTCCTTCCGCGGCGCGTTCTGCGGCCCACTGATGACGGCTGAGAACCCAGCAGCCTTTGCGATCGGGATCGCAGCTTCGAGCTCTTCGACCAGGAGCTTCGTCAAGTTATTTTCTGACGCCAGATCACGTAAATCCCGAGCGTGGTAAGAGCGTGTCGCCACTCTGAGCACCCAAAGGCTTCCTATCGCGGACGGCGATCGCCTGGCGATATCGTCAAGGCAGTCCTGGTAAATCTTCCAGCGGCCTTCCAGGCCAGGGCCGTGGCTCAGGATGCTCTCTAACTTCTGTATCGCGAACTGCTGGACGTCGGGATACGCGATAGGCGAACCCGAACCAAAGCAAGACGACTGGCGGATCAGGCGTATGCAAAGGTCGAATGGAGCGGAGTCGGTGAGAAAGCTCTCCGGAAACTTGGCGAGGAGTTGCTTGAAGATTTGGTCGCAGAACTCACGCATGGTCACGCTGAATAATTCAACTGGCACCGTGTTTAGTTTCTCGCAGAGATACATCAACGGTTCTTGCGTGGTGAAGAGGTTCGTGATGCGGCTGGTCATCCGGATCAAGGCGTCGGACACGCGGGGATCTTGAGTCGAGGTCACTGTCTGCCACAAGGTGTCTGTGTGCTCATTCGAGTAGGTATGCGACACAATCAGAAACCCAACAATGTTACTGCTCTCGAGCGTGATCTCCGGGTGGCATGTCGGACCAAGAATGTAGTTGACCAGACCTGCCGTAATAAGGAAGTGAGCAAGATATTTCAGGAGGGCGATAGTGGCTTCTTCAGCGAGGGATTCGCTGCATTTGCGGTAGAACGTGACGAGGTCCCCACACATAGTGCTCACAGCCATGACTCTGAGTTGCATCTGGCCAGACTTGATAAGCTTGGCGAAATTTGTGAATTTCCAGTGGTAAGCCATAGCCTCCGGTACGTGCTGCGCAGCAATAGGCGGGTGGGCCTGGCGGTGCGCCTCGATCGTGTCCGCAGGGACGACGCCATTAGTAGCCAGGCATGCCTGATATATCTCGGTCAGCGAGGTGAGAAGGTTCGCTGCGCTGTCAAGTGAGAGGTGGTTGAGGTTCTTGTCGATGATTTCCGAGACGGTTGCGGACATGGGCTTGAACAGCGCATAACTCCGCAAAATGGTCTGCCTGGCGGTCTCAGAAGCCTGCTGACTAGGGTTGCGAAGTCTGCGGAAGCTCTGCTGTACGACATTCGAAGCGAGGACGCATAGATTGCCAAGATGATCGGTGAGTCTTGGGCAGTGCGAAATAAGCTCACGCTCAATAAGAGCCAGCTGCTTCAGGCATGCGAGAGTGCCTCCCTGCACAGTTGAGTAGGTCTGGAAGATGTCCAGAATATCTGCCACCTCTGCGCTGTAGCTCCAGTCCTCATCTACGTTGTTAGGCTGTGACGAGTGCCAGTTCACCTCATCCTTGCGGGTGAGGAAACCGAGAGCATGAGCATAGGGAGCGGAAGCAAGGGGCGGGAGCTGGCCCTGGTCAGGTAGTCCCAGGTTTCGCAGTGCCCGGAGGTCGAGTTCGATGAAACAGGCAGTCAACCTGGCAAAGGACCTATAAAACGCAAAGATCTCCTGTCTCAGGCCCCTGAGTCGTGGGTATGGAGTCCTATAACCATTTCGTCAGACACACTGCAATTTTGAACCGCAAACAGGACAACTCACTTTCGGTTGACCATGAAGAGAACTAGCTCGGGAACATGCTGCCATATCTCCCGGTGGCTGTAGTAAGACTCGGCAGCTGTGCGAGGAGGAACGGATTTGAGGTAGAGCAGATAACTCTCAATCCATTCGGAGAATTGGTGGGACACCTGGTCGTCTAAGGCTTGTCAGCAAATGTGCCTCCCGAAGGAGTGCCATATGGCGGAAGTCGCAGCTTACGAGTAACAAGGTACTGCGATAACCGAATCATGGTATCCAGATATGTCTCAGCAACGTCGTGAAATGGGACAGCGAGCGAGGGGTCTCGGATCCGAGAACGTCCAGACCCATCCAATATGGTGAAGGGCACGTCAACCTCTCCCTCATCATCTGTTATGACCTCGACTGGGGGGCTACCGCTATCGGGCGTCGACGACCCTGACGTGTCCATTACCGCCTTTTTCAGCGACATGACGGCCTCGGATTCTTCCACACTGATCCTGACACCATCCGTTGGCGATACCGCAGGCGGGGTAGCACTCCTGACGGAGGGGGACGGAGGAGACGAGACGATCGCCTCGAGGGTACGTGACGGGGTCCGTACATTTATTGTGACGCGGCTGGATCGCGGTTCAGAGGCTGGTTCGGGCTCAATATGTTGCCGCTCGGGGGTAGTGGGAATGGTGGGTTCAGAGTCAATCTTCATGGCGGAATCGCTTGTCGATTCCGCGGCCGACTTGCCCGCGGCGGGCGAGCTCGGGGAAGAATCGAGCGTCTCGACGGACCGACTCCGGGAAGCGCTAGCCAGAGAAGTGCGACGCCGCTTTCTAGCCGATATGTCGTCGTCGAACGGATTAGGGCGGGTTGAACAAGGCTCAGAGGAGACAGCACGTTCTCTCGACGGTTCGACTGTCGAAGCTTGAGCCATCTGGCTTGCACAGGTAGGAAAGCTGGGAAGGCTGCTGCTGTAGCTCCGCAAACGGGCGAGCTCCGCTCGGGCAAGCTCGGCGACAGCTTCTCAATCCCGTAGTCGTTAGCATGTGTTGGCGTGTTTTTGTTTTTTTGTTTGGTTTCAATTTTTGGATGGGTGGTTTTCTGGCAGTAAAGAGGCAGCAGGTGGGGGGTTGAGAATTGCCAGGATGCTGTTTGGCTGTGCAAGTGCTGGGAAGACGCACAGCTAGAAGGGCCCAAGCTTTCGCGCTGGTGTTTGGAGCTGCAGCGGGGACAAGCCCACCACAGATAACAAGAATAACGCCAAGAATCAGGACGCAAAGAATAAAAGAGCCGTTGAGGTATCCAAGTATGGAAACCAAATTGGCCTTTGTTGGTGCTCTCTTCCTCTCGTTATTTCTTCTCTCTTTTACCTCTTTCCCTGCCGCCTTTGGTACTTGGGGGTACGTGGGGAGATTTGAGCTTCCAGGTTGGTTGGGTGATGTAAGTGGGAGACTTGCTGGGGCAGGCAGCCTGGTAGTTTGCAGCAGGCTACGAGCTCCGAAAAGGAAAAGCGTTGGACAGGCAGACAAGCGGGCTGCAACTTGGGAAGGCCGGGGTCCGGTCCGGCAAAGGTTCAAATGCGAAAGGCAAGAGGGCCGGCGGAAAGCAGTTACGTACCGTTCCGAGGAGCCAGAAGAACGGCGAATGGATTGGTACCGAAATGAATTTGTGACGCTCAGCAACTTTGGACGTTCCTGAGACTTGGAGCTCAATGTTCGATGATTGAGCCTGCGGGTCCTACCGTATAATGGTGTGGCCTTGTGTGGATAGGACGGCATAGGCAAAGTGACGAGGAGGATAAGCGGGAAAGAAGGCGAACTCATTGTTGACGAAGTGGTGTCGGGAAAGAAGGCGGGGTAGGGTGTGAACGCAAGAAGCTGGGTTACTTACACCAAAACGTTAACCAGCTCGAGCCAGCTCTTTCCTACTGCAGTTGTAATACTGGGTACCTTAAGGTGTAAGGGCCAACCACTCAAATGATCAGTTCGACGCAAGTTGAGAAGAGATGGCTGTTGACTTGCTCGGCCTTGGGCTGAAAACACATCATATGGGACCAGTATGAACGGTCTCATCCTCAATTCAGGCGGATGCTTTCCAAGTTCAACAAGGTAAGTTATTGTGGCACTAGCGCTCGTCACACAGCCACGCCCCAAGCTCAGCGGTGGAGTAAAAACTGGTTGGAGGTGTACGGAGGTACTCCGTAACCTAAGGTAAGATACATCATCTAGAGGTACATACATATGGAGGTATTGACATGCTTAAAGTTCTCTACAATAACTGAAACTTCCATACAAGAGTGCTTTCGATGGTCTTAGACGTCCCTCGGTTAGTTGCCAGCCATGGCTTGCGTCGCCAGTGCAATGACAGCCGAGACAGAGAAGAACAAAGGGCGCTTTGTTTCGCTTCGAGGTAATCGGGCTATGTATGAGGAAGAATGCCCTCTCTCGTCGCCGAGACACGTCCCTTACAGATTACCAGGCCAACAAGTCGCGTAAGTAGAGCTGTGGACGATTGGCGAATGTACAGATGTGTCCGACGAAGTTTTCGCTCCTCTGTCTCAACTTTGAATTAGGTGTGTATTCATAAGGTAGGTACCATAGCGCGCCACCCGGGTTTTGCAAAATGGTCACCGTCAGTATGATACAGCTGCAAAATCATTTTCGTACTAAGTCAATCATGTGGTG